CAGGAAGCTCCTTCCTGGCTCTCCCTCACCCCCATCCACTCAAAGCTCCTGACCTGGGCCACGCGAGCTCCTTCGCTGCGGGTGTGAACGAAGACACAAAGGATACCTCACCCCCACGACTTGGCCACAAGTCTCCACGCGGTTCCCGCCATGATGGGAAAGTGTCACATGAGGAGAACCAGCCAATCATGGAGCAGACAGTCCAGGCCCCTCTCTGCAGCCCCCTCCCAACTGAGTCCATCCCGGGAAGGGCCCACAGGTGTGGGTGGTGGTCACTTATGAAGGACCCAGAACCAAAGGGCCTGCACCTGCTCTGCCAGGCACCTGCTGAGAGGTCTGGGGAAAGCCCATTTGCCACAAGGCCTGCCTCCTCTCCCCCGACCCAGGGAAGGGGCATCCTCCCTACCCAGAGGGTACATCGGTCAGCAGAACTGGAGAACCAAGCAAAAGATTTCCAGAACAAAGCCTGGGAGCCGCATGCATCACCTACAAGCCATCTCCACTGGCCAGTACACAGGTCCATGGGAGCCAAGAAAGCAGCCCACCAAGCACTGGGAGGATACGGGGCACTGGCTTTGGGGACCTTGTAAAGCACAAGCCACACGGGTCAAACCGAGCCTTCGCTGCGGCCCAGTTAGGAAGAGGCATGCCTGGACCAAAATACTCTTCTGCCATCTGCTGGGAACATGACGTAACTGCGCCTCTCCAGTGAGATGGGGTCGGATCGGGATCAGGAGGAGTAGGAACGAGCCAGCCCTTAGTGTGCAGTGTCCAGAAGAACTCCGGGCTGCAGCGTCCTCTAGTGGAGGAGAAGGGTATCCTGCCCACAGACGGCAACCTCGGAGAGGCCCACGTTCATGTTCTCATTGGGGATTGTTCTGATCACAGCTGTCCTGCACAGAGCCCAGGGCACAGGCCGGAGCCCACCGATGGGGGACACAGCCTGAACGGTGCCAGGACTGTGGGTTGAAGCTCCTGGAGGCCTGTGTCCCAGCCAGGGAGGGGCTGGCAGAACAGTTCTCGTGGGCGCCCTGGGGTGATCAGAGCTGTCATTCTGTGAAATCACTGGGTTTACACAGTGTAAACCCACCTGACTCGGCAATGCCTCGCTGTGCTGGTGGCAGAAACCTCGCATGACCCCGCAGCAGTGCCACCGTCCTGGCCAATGGGAGTGGTCTGTGCTCCAAGCTTCCCTCCTGGGACCTGGGCCCAGCCACAGGGGCCTGGGGACACCCCACCCCCACCCCCCAGACATCAGGAGCCCCAGCTCTTCCCCAGCTGGCCGACACCAAACTTGAGCTAGGAGGAGACTGAGAGAGGATGAGTCCGTGTCTTTAAGGACAGAAACAAACTAGGCCCATTATGGCTTAGGCTGTATCCCATCCACGCACAAAGGGGTTCTCTCTCAGACTGTGGTGTTGATCAGAACTGGCCCTTACAAACGAGGGCACCACAGCAGGCCCCTGGGCCAGTGGGACTTGGTGTTTATGGAAAGTGGACCTCCACAGGAGGGAGGGAGGTGGGCAGACGTGGCCACCTGCTCACCGGGAGAGGGCTGTGGGTGCCAAGGGCCTTGGACATCATGCCAGGGTGGGCTGCATTCAGACACAACTGCAAAGGAATCTTGTGTCAGCTGGGGTCCCAACCCAGTCAGAAAGTGGCCGTGCTGCCCAGGAGAGCAGGAGGACAGAGCAGTAAGTGCCAGGAACTGCTGGCATCCTCCTCGGTCGCTGTGTCTGGCCGGTGCCAGCCTCCAGGGCCAGTGGACCGCAGGTAAACCTGCTGCTAACCATCCCCTGCTGAGGCTCTGCCCGAGGTGTGGGCCTGGATCCTGCAACTGCATTTCCACCACAAGGTGGCGCCACCGGCTCCAGCGGGCCTCAGTGGGATGCGGCTTGCTCAGGTCACCCACCCAGCGCCCCACAGTAAGCACCCCACCCAGCTTCACACAGCCGAACCCTCAGGTGAACAGCACGTAACCAGGTTGCTTGGCTGTCTGTCACGTGTTCTGGGCTACACTCTGCATGTGGCATGCCGCATGTTGCATACTGCTCACCTTCACCATGATTTCAGCCTCCAATGTGTGGCTACCCTGACACCTGCTCCCAGCTGAGCCACTGTCACCACGTGGCCCTGCCGTCGAGGGGTCGGGGGCCATACCGCAGGATGGGGGAAGGCGAATGTCAACCCAGGTCCCCATGCACGGTCTTAAGGCATGTAGGTAGACTCTGGCCCTGCCCGATCCTGCATGTGCCCCGACTTCTCCCAGCTCTCCTCTGCTCCCTGCAGCCCAGGGAAGCCTGCACAGTTGATGAGGCTCACAGAGGCTCTGCTCCCAGGGGCAGCCGCAGAGAACAGGAGGAGGGTGAAAGTGGAGTTGGGGGACCCCCCTGAAGAAGGGTCAGGGGAGGGGCACCATTGCTCAGTTCAGGCCTCAGGGCCCAAAGAGGTAGCTGCTGCTCCAGGGACAGCAACGGTGACCAGAGACCATAGGCACTGGAGACCCCAGCCCAGCCAGCGGGCACTCAGAGAAACCCACGACCCAGGGCTCCCCTCCCTGGCCGCTCCGCCAGTGCTCCTGGCCACCCATCTTGGCTGGTGGGCAGAAGGCAAGGAGCCTCCAGGGTGGGAAACAGAGTGGGGATGGGTGCAGGGCACCCTGCTGTGTAGTGCTGTCCCCAGAGATGCCCACATCCTAACCCCAGACCTGTGAATAGAAACCTGGCCGATGTGATATAGAGGTAGGGTAGGGTAGGGGGATGAGCCAGGTGGGCCTCAGAGTCACAGGGTCCCCACTGGGGGCAGACAGGGGGTCAGAGGCCACAGAGGCAGAACACCCAGGAACTGGAAGATGCTACCTAGTGGCTTTGATGATGGAAGAAGAGGCCCAGGAGGCAGGTGGCCCAGAGCAGGCACAAAAGGCCGGAAGCCCTCTTCCCCGGCACCTGCAGACAGCCCACAGGCACGCACCCGCCTACAGGGTTCTAACCCTCCCAGAACCACAGAGGCTGAGCCTTCAGGTCTATGGCCACTTCCTTCAGGATTCAATGCACCTGCCCATGATGCGGGGGCCACCCCCTGCACCCCACCACCACCACCACTACCAAACCTGCCCAAATCCCTCTCTGGCCTCAGGGTCCCTATCCACTCCCGCGAGAACAAAGGCTAGAAGGACAGCTCCTACCTGGGAACAGCCAGGTTAGGGCAGGGCAGGGGCCGGGCCACAGGGTGCTGCGAATGCCACACCAGCCCCTTCTGGTGTTGGTGCCTCTCACTGCGGCCGGAAGGAAGTGTCCCATTTTCTCCTTTTCTCCTTTTCTGCTTTCCAATATGTCACACCAGTGTTTGAACTGCTAGTGAGGATGGCAGTAGCTTGTAGTTCCAACACACCCCGCTCCCCCAGCCCAGAAGGCTGGAGACCTGGATATAAACCTGTCCCCCTCCGTCCACCACCCCCACCCCTGAAGTCAGGGCTGCAAAGCCACTGCCTTTCCGGGAGTCTCATTTCCCCATCTGTACAAGGGGGTGGGAGCCATCTCCCAGGCCCTCATGAGCCCACAGTCAGTCCCACGGCTCTTAAGCACTTCCTCTGTAGCCAACCTGCCTGACCTCGCCACTGGGCAGGATCAGGGTTGGTCAGTGCTGGGGGAGAAGCCCCTCGCCCACCACCCCAACCTGGTTGCTCCATCTCCTAGCTCTGCTCGGTCTCTGCTGCCCTCTGCTGGCCGCAAGAAAATAAACACTTCCCAGCTAGAGTCGGTTTAGGAGCACAGGCCAGCGCCCCAGCAACCTCCTCCTGCTTACCAACCCAGCCAGACCTGCCAGCCAGGACCTCCCTTGGGGTTAGTTTCCAAGGCACAAAAGGAGGCCCGTGTAGAGACAAGAGTCCTGGCTGGAGGGGCTGCCTGTGTCACACCCCACTTCACAGGACAAGGGGTCCCTGAGCACTCTCCCCGAGGTGTCCTGGCTCCTGTCCTGTTTCTTCCTGGGCTTGCAAAGGCCCTTGGGTATCAGAAGGGGTGAAGACAGGATTGCTCAGACACTCCCACCTCTCCCCTGGGCAGTGCCACCAGCGAGTGTCAGGTGCCCTGGACGCTCGGCTTCTGGCCCTAGCCCTAACGCTGCATCGATTCCAATCACACCCCCGTGGCCGCTCATGCACTTCACGACGCCACTCCCTGCTCTAAATCCACGCTTCTGGTCTCCACAGCGTTCTCAACCCCTGGGCTCTCGGCCCAATCCAGCAAGACAACTGCCCTCCCCCCTGTTCAACCCAAGACGGGCTTCGAGGCCAAGCCTCCAGCCCCACAAATGAAGGGAAAGACAGCACATCAAACATGGCCACATTGAAACACACAGCAGCCTTCCCAAGCCAGGGACACACGCAGCCCAGCGGCCCAGGGCTCACAGCCATAACCACGGAGGAGCTGTTTATTGATGCGCAGCGCAGGCCACCGAGCAGAGTGGGGGCAGTGACAACAGAGCTTCTGTCAGCAGTCACCAGCCGCCTGAAGTTTCTAAGGTTCTAGAGAATTCTACAAAGTCATAGTCACAAGCAAAAGCAGGCGCAAAGATGTTACCGCCTAGAATTGGACAAAGGGGTGGGAGGGGAGGGATGCTGTGAAATCAGTCCTTGCTTCTCTCTGGCCTTGGGAGAGAGGGAGAAGGACGTGTGGAGAACCTGCCTGTTTCGCAGAGAGAAAACTAGCAGCATTAAATACGAAGCCCCTGAGGAAAGAGTGAAGAACGCAGGGCTCGGGGGAGAGGGGGGTTTCACAACTGATTCAGTCTTTCCCGTGTATGCGCTATGCGACTTTGTCACCGTAGGCCCTTTGACTACTTTCATAAAATTAATCTTTACTCTTCAAATGTGACACCCAAAGCAACTGAATCAGAAATGACCTCACCCGCTTCTCTCCCGCCCAGGCGTCCTGGGTGCGGGACGCAGCGAGAGCTGGCGCAGGTGCACCTGCAGCCCCCGCCCTGCCCTGTGCGCCTGCGCCCAGCGGCAAGCGCGCCCTAGCCGAGCATGTTCCGGCAGCGCAGCCGCTCCTCCTCCTCCTTCTCAGCCATGCGGTTCTCAAGCAGGCGCAGCTCCCTGCGCACCGCCTTCTTCATGGACGGCTCCAGCTCCAGCACCTTCTCCAGGTCCGCCTTGGCCTCGGCTGCGTTCCACACCTCCGCATGAGCCCGGGCGCGCACATAGTAGGCCTTCACCATGCCTGTGGGGAGGACCCAGTTGTGCCCACCTGCCCCAAGCCCTTAACGTCTCTGCACCTGGCATGCCTCGGTTTCCCTGACTGTAAAGACATACTGCACAGCCGACGGTACCTGCTTATCCCTGCCCCACGCTTGCTCCCTTCCGAGACCTATAACTCATTTTACATTCAGAAGTTTGTATTCTTCGAGAAGCACCTCAAAGCTACAAGCTGGGTCGGGGCTAGGCTTAGGAATTCTACATCCCAAATGGAGTACCCATACGTGCTCCACTTCCCATCCAGCTCCCTGCTGGTGCAGCTGGGAAGGCAGCTGATAGACGGCTTATGTGGTTAGACACCTGCCACCCACGTGGGAGAGCCCACCCCTGGATGATGCTGTCATCTGGGGAATAAACCAGCAAATAAAAGTGCTCACTCGCTCTCTCATGCGCGCTCTCTCGTTCTTTCTCTGATTTTCAAATCATTTTTTTTAAAGTGGCAAGGTTGGTGAGCCAACTTGCATCTTTGTCCTAACATGCAATAAAATACCCTCCCCCTAGTAAGCACGGTCATCCATCAACTGCTCCACAGCTCCACAGCTGGGACCAAGGTCGGTGGCCCAAACAAGGTGTACAGGCGGTGGCGCTGGCCCCGGGGGGCCCCCTTCCTCGCCCCCCACTCCCCACACCTGGGTGGTGTCTCAGGATGTCGCTGGTGTGTTCTAGCACCTCGTAGTACTCCTCCTTCTTGAGCAGGCATTGGCAGTAGTTCAGGATGAGGGTGTTAATCATCTTCTCCAGCTTCAGCCACGGCACCTCCCAGGGCTTCTCCTAACGCAGGCAGGAGCAGTGGGAGAGGGCTGCGAGCTCCAGATACGCGCACACACACACACACACACACGCTCCCCGCAGCATGGCTCCTCCCCACACATCCTCGTACAACGCACTGCCCACCTTGGTCTGCAGGTTCCGCAGGCAGACGATAGCTTCCTGGTATTTGGTGCAAGCGTCATCGTAGCGTCCCAGCTTAAAGAGCCGGTTGCCCTCACCGTGCAGCACGGGCACGGCCTGCATCCTCTCATCGTTATTCAGGTTCCACGTCTCCCGCTGGTACTCGCTCGGGGCCTCCACCTGCCACAGGAACCACAGCAGGTGCAGCCCCACTCGCAGCTCCGCCTTGCCAAGGCAGAGGGCTGAGGTCTCAGATACACAAATGCCAAGGGAGCAGGTGACCAGACCCGGGACTCTGCCAGCATGAGTACCGTGGTAACCACGAGGAAAAGGCACCTCTCGGTCACAGTGCTTCCAACATCCAGGAAACTGTCCTGAAAACTCATTTCCTTAGAACAAAACCCTTCCCTGTGTGCTGGAAAATATGGACTTTCCATGCTTAAGTCATTCTGAGATGTGCTCTCAGGCAGTGCACAGACCACATGTCTGCTCCAGGGCCCCTGCGAAGATGCCCAACACACCGCTCTCAGGGACAGCCTCACCTGACAGCCTTGACCCTGGCCTGGTCCTCTCCCACCACCCCCAACACAAGCTGTCCATCACAGCAGGAGGTGGACATTTCTGGGCTACTCCAGCGTCATAGACAGTCTGAGCCCACACACTGCAGGGCCCGAGGAGAAGGTCATGGACCTAAACTTGAATTTGACCTAAACTTGAAGTCAACAGAAGGAAGATGCCTCCAACATGGTGCTTTTACAAAACGGGTTCAAACGGACTTTTTCTTGGGGCGGGGGGGCGGGGGGGAAGGAGTGTTTCCCCAAATTCTAACTCTGCTCTGATTTTGGACCCCCATCTAGTTCTCTGAGGAGAAGCACAGCTATGTCTCCCCGCAACCTGCCCCACCTGCAGCAGCTCGATGATGAAGATGAGCGGCTGCGGTTCCTTCTGCAGCTCGTCCAGGTCCTCGTAGCCCAGTGTGTGGTAGGCGAACATGTTGGCCAGCCCACATGTGTGCGTGCACCACTCCGTGGGGTCCTTGCCCTCGGCCACCTGCCGCAGGCTCCGCGACAGGATGGGGTAGACACCCGTGTGCTATGCAGAGAGACAAGCATGCTATGTGTGCCCAGGGCCCTCTCCCCAGCACTGGCCTGGCATCTCCCAGCAGACCACACCCCTGGCTCACCGCCCTGGCTAACTCCACACCAGGCAAAGCACTTTTTTCTCACTAGCACCTTCCACGCTCACAATGACACGGGAGGCGCCACATTAGACACATTTACAGACAAGGAAAAAAGCCCCAGAGAAGACAAGCCACTTGCTCAAGGTCACACAGCTTGGAAATGAGAGCCAGGATTCAAAGCTGGCTCCAGCGGTGGGCGTCCCTGCCTCTTGCTGGTCCCTGTGGCCCAGTAACACATCTTCCACCCCCCTGCCAGGAAACGTTGGGCTTCATAGAGCCTAGGGCTCCCATGGCAGTGTAGCGCAGTGTAGGGCAATAGACACTGAGTCCAAGACAGTCAGGTGAGCCTCCCGCCCAGACTGCTGCTGAACAGAGAGCCCAGGTGAGCTCATGTCCATGAACCTGGCTTTCCCTAGGCTGCACCTGCCCAGGGCTGGAGCCATAGCTGGGGGGAGCTGCAACAAGTGCAGGGAGGGGGCTGGCTCCTTGCAGCCCTGCCCACCACCAGCGCTGTGAGTGCCACCCATGGGGGGAGGAGGGCAGCCCTGTGAGTGCAGCAAGGCCTGAGGCACGATGGGCTTCTTTCCCCCACTGGTCTCTGAGAACTGCTCTCCTGGAACCGGGTTCTGAGATGGCCAGTTTAGGTTCCTGCACACTAGTCCAGTAAGGTAAGGGGCCGGGGGAAGCCCTTCAGATCTGCCCCAAGTCGCCAGTAGGGACTGAAGGTCACCTCTCCTGCCCCACCCACCAGCCGGGATTAGCCCGATGACGTTTTGTGAGGCTTTTTGGCATCACCAGATGGTAGCAGAGCCGGCTGGGATTAAGGTTGGACTAAGAAAGAGAGCAGCTCGGTGTGGCCACCTACTGGTGGATGGCAGGACTGCAGCCTCATTCCACCTGGAGCTGGGCCAGGGGGCCTTGTCCTGCCCCTGAACCTGCTGTACCCACAGCAAGCATCTTTCCCCTGCTGCACTGTATGTTGGAAAAATGAGGAAATATGCTCCAAAATGCTCCTGATTCAAAATGCCAGTTCCCATGTTTCAGCTAACCCAATTGTATTAAGGGTTAGGGCTGCACAGCCTGGGCACTGCCAGGGTCCCTGGACCTGGCTTGACTGTTCCCAGCTCCAGCTTTTGCAGGCACTGAGGGAGTGACCCAGTGGATGGGAGAGCCAGCTTGCTCCCTCGCGCTCTCTCCCTCCACTCTACTTCTCAGATACACAATAACAACCAAATATAGTTTTGAAAGAAAAGAAATATCTGATTAACGGCCATGGATCTGGACCTCAGAACAAAGAGGCTAACTCGCATTTTAAAAAAAATCACTCCCCAGGAATGCCAAAAATCTTCCTTAACATTGCAAAGTTGGGGGGAGGGGACTGTCCCTTCCCGGCCCAGCGTCCCCCCAGCACAGTGTCCCCTCCACCCCCAGTGTCCCCCCACCCCTGCTCCCGAGCGAGGGCAGAGCCACACGGCAGGGCCTACTCACAATGGTGTCACACCAGAACTCGGCCACCTCGTGCAGGCGCATGGACGTCAGCAGGGTCTCCCACACCTCGAGCTTGAACATGTTGCCCAGGATGATGTGCATGGGGTGGCCCGCCTGCTTGCTGTCGTCAATCACCGTCCGCTCCTCGTCGCATTTTGTGGTGCGGAAATGAAACGTCACCTGCTCGCCAAGAGAGGTGGAGGGGTGCCGCTGGCCTGGACCCCCCCACACACACACACCCCATCTCCAGAGATCTGGCAGAAGCCACCCCCTCTATCACAGGGGCCAGCAAGGCTCACCAGGCACCTGGAGACAAACCCCTAAAACCCTGGGCTCCAGTAAGTGCCCTCAGCTGGCGTTGCAGTCTTTGTCTGCAAGGTGCCCCATGAATGGCACTGTGTTGGGCAGGGCTGAAGGCTGCGGGGCAGGGCAGGGGTAGGGAGGGCACTCACACGGGAGCCGGTGATGAAGCTGGGGAGGTCACCCGTGCCCCCGTGCAGGATGGTCTTCTTCACGCCTTCTACATTGAGCAGCAGAGCCGCGTCCATGGCGCCCAGCCCGCTAATCTCGCCGCGGGAAAGACACTTGTGTGGCTCAGACCCGAGGGGATTTGCCCTGGAGCTTGGGGTGGCGGGGCGGGGTGGGGGGGGTGAGGCTGGGGAGGGACTGACAGTGGCCCAGCCTGTAGTTCCTCAGGGCCACTGCTGCCCTCCTGGCCCACAGGGCCTCCAGCCACCCGCTGCTTGTGCTCTGAAAGGAACTCAGCTGAGCCTTCTTAAAGGAGGCGAGAGAATGAGCAGGACAGCAGAGGGCCACCAGACGGGTGAAGACTGATTTGAGAAAGACAGGGGGCATAGAGAGGGGGAGAGAGTAAAGGTGAGAAAGAGATCTTCCATCCACTGGTCACTCCTGCACATAACCTAAGGGCCAAAGCTGAGCTAAGCTGAATCCAGCAGCCAGGAGCCTCCTCCAGGTCTGGCCACGGACCCAGATCCCTTTGAACGCAGGAGGGCCACTCTATCCTCCTCTGCTGACCAAGAGGCACCCACAGAAGGCTGAGGCTGCCCAGGCCCGGGTGTGGGGGGAAGCTAAGATGTCCTCTGCTGCCCCCTTCCTGTGTGCACTGGGAGGTGAGCTCTGTAGAGGCCTTTCCCCCAGGACCCCCGGACCCAGGGGGACCCAGCAAATCCCAGCTTCCCTCCAGCCCGCTCCTTTCCACGGGGAGGCCTGGTGTTTGGCATCCCCCAGTGGCCGCTCCCTGTTCCTGCACCTCCGCTGCCCTTAGTCCTGCTGAGACACCCTTGGCGAGTGGCTTAAGTCGCAGGACGCAGGCAGGACCCTGCTCCATTGGGGTAGGGAGATAGGCAAGAACCCCACCTTGGCCAGGGCGTCCAGTACCTGGGAAAGCCTGGGAGGGGAGGAGCTGCCCCAGGGGTCCTGCCGTTCGCCTTTGACCAGAGGGAGAGCTCCAAGGAGTTCAGCTTTGCACATTTTCTAATGATTTAAAAGGCAGAGACAGAGCGCCGGCATCTGGGTCACTAGCCGCACCTGAAACACTGCATGCCCCCAATGCCCACCCTGGGAGCGTCTCGGTTCCTGGCAGCGAGTGATTCACAGAGGAAGAAAGGGATCCAGTCGCGCCCAGCCTCGCTGCACCTGCGGCTTGCCCACATCTCGCCCTTGACTGCTTCCATGCGCAGGGTCAGACTCTCCCAGGGTGCGGCGGGAACAGATGACACCAGGGGCTGGGTTTCCGCCTGGGTCACAGCCCAGCTCAGACCCACAGCCTCCACACTGACACCCCCAAACCAGTCTCTCCCTGGGCGTCATGGAAACGCAGCCTTCAAACTCAGCCGAGCTGCTTTGGGATAAAGCTAACCTCGCCACTCTGTCCTCTGGAGTCTGCCCCACCTAACTCCGTCCGGGGTTGGATCTGATGGGGCTCTGGGCTCCCTCTCCGACATCACACCTCCCTCCAGCTCCAGTGACGGCCCCTCTCCCTTGCACCCCCTCTATCTCTTCATGTTCATCATCTGAAGGTCTGTCTCCCACCAGAGCAGCCAGCCCAGGAGGTCAAGGGAACAGGTGGGAGTCTCCCTCTTCCAGTCCCTCCACTGCAGAGGCAACGGTGAGACCAACAGAATAGCAGCCCCGCCCAGAAAGCATCCCACCCCTAAACCAACACTCCATTCAAAAGTTTTTTCCACCTCTCCTTGTTGCCATGGAGACTGCTCTTCACTAACCTGAGCTGCCAGTTAGCATTGTGAGCCCGGCGAGAAAGAAAAGCTGAGAAAGGGAGGGCTTCCTCCTGCAGCCTGCACGCGTTCATTCCCAAGCTTAACACAGCTGTGTTCCCTCCCCACCCGTCTGCCTCCCAGTGCCCAGGATCCCAGGTCCTCGGGGCCAGGGGCGAGGGCCGGGGGGAACGGACAGACTGTCTAGCTTGGACACCCCACACAATCCTGGGCAAGCTGCTTCACCTGGCTTCCGTTGTCATTTGCCATAGGAATTCAAAATAGCTCGTTTTCCAGAGTGGCCCTGAGGAAGAAGGAGCAATAAAAATGTCAAACCAATTAGCAGAGGAGTGGGGGGTTCCTGCCCCACCGCGGGGGGCCAGGGACTCTGAGCCCACTGCCTACGCCTGATGGCTTCACTTGTCTTTCACCTTCATTGAGTCTTTTTTGCACTTGCAACTTAGTTTCCATAGAAGCAACAGGCTTTCTTTCCCTCCCTGGTATCTGATGTTTAAATTCCTCCAGACTTCAATCACAAACAACCTGCACCCACAAGGTTTGGGGACAAGCATTTCTAACAGCCCAAGGGGGGAATCCCAGGCATACTGGCTATGCAAGTGGTCACACTGCAATGGGCGCCCGCTGGTGGCCGCCAGGACACACAGGCTGGAGCTGTGGCTGCCTGTACAAGCAGAGTTGATATCACAAACGGCAGATGATGCGTCCGAGGTTTCTGAGCAGGAGGACTGGCCACACACACACACACACACAGCCTGGTGAACTCATTTTGCACAGGGATCCAGGGCCCCCAGGACATGGAGTTTGCATCCTTGGCCCTATTATATGGTCACCAGGTGAGCCTTGCACACCACCCCCATCTAACCTCTCCATACCCCAGTTTCCAGGCTGCAGTGAGTTCGTAGCACCCCAGCCCTGGTGCTACACAGAAAGGGTGCTCTCCAACATCATTGGGTTGCAGAGGGAGCAGGCTGGGGGAGCAGGCTGGGGACGGCACAGACACGGGGCCAGGCAGGGGAGGGAGAAGAGTTGCGAACACTTGTGGATGCCGAGGGGAGGGGTCGGGGATCCGGCATGAGCAGGAGGGCAGGTGGGCAAGTGGGAGGAGGGCAGGCGGGCAGGTGGGAGGAGGGCAGGTGGGCAGGAGGGCAGGTGGGCAGGTGGGCAGATGAGAGGAGGGCAAGTGGAAGGAGGGCAGGTGCATCCTGGACCGTTTCATCTCCCAGTTTGCTCGGTGCAGAGCAGTGTGGACCAGAACCACCTCGCCTCCTGAAGGGAGGGATCTGCACCCCTAGTCCACGGTTCTTCCGGGCAAAATCACCACGAGAGAAAGAAAAGGCCCGCCCCTTGGCACGGCGGGAGGGGTCCCTACAAGACCCGGTGTGCTGCGGGCTGAGGGGTCTGGAGCCCGGGACCCTCCTCCGTCCCAACGGGGACGATCGTGCCAATCCCTGGGCAGGATTAGCAGCCGTGAGCGGAGGTGGCCAATCGGGTGTCCGGCCCGTGGTCCCGGAGCCAATCGGCTGCGAGGACAGGGCCGGGGCGGGGCCGCGCGGAGTTTCAAATCTGCTGGGTGGGCGAGCGCCCGCCGGGCTCGGGGTGCGGTCGGCTCTGGGGGCCGCAGGGTGAGCGCGGGCCGGGACCTGGGGGGGCTTCCGAGGGGTGGGGGGATCGCGGCTTCCGAGGGGTGGGGGGATCCAGGAGTGCCTGGATGTGGGGAGCATTCGATCGAGCCCGGGGGCGCCTGGGGGTCGGCAGCCGTTTGGGCAGGAGCGCGCCCGGGGCCAGGGCGAGCAAACCGGAGGAAGGTGGCCTGAATTCCGTGCCCAGGGCCGGGAAAGCTTCTGTCAGTCCCTCGGCCCGAGGAGAGAGGAAAAACGGGGCCAGGAAGACAGCTGCATAGGAAAGCGCAGGCGGCCGGATTGCCTGGGCTTCCTCCTGCAGGGAGTGCCCGCCCCAAGCACCCGGCGGCCTTTCATCCTGGTCCCTGTTCTTAGCCCAGGAGCTCGGGGGCCAGGATGCCCTGCTGATGCCCTGCTGATCCTCCCCAAGGTCCGGTGGACGCAGGACACACAGCTGGGAGATGGCGTGTCGCTGGCAGGGCGTGGGGGCCTCCCTGCGTCGCCGCAGATCTCTGCTGCAGGAGGAGCAGCTGGAAGAGAAGAGGGCCGTGCCACCGGCCCACCAGGACACGGCCGCGGGGACCCTGGGCTCCTTGTGCAGACAGCTCCAAAGGAGGCTGCCCCTGAGAGCTGTCAGCCTGAACCTTGGGGTAGGCCCCTCTTGGAAACGCCTGGAAACGCCAGAGCCAGAGGCACAAGGCCTCCAGGCTGCAGCTCGCTCAGCTAAGAACGCCCTGGGCGCCGTGTCTCAGGTAATTACAACACTTTGTAGAGGGTATTTGCGGTGCCAGCTGGTGCCTGTCCTCCAAGAGCCATCCTGCCCAGGAGTTCAGACAACACACAGACAGGGACATGGGTTTGTTCCTTGTTGCTGGTACAAGGTGGGCATTTAGTAAAGAGCTGGTGTCATTCAGGGGACATGAATCCAGATTTAAAGATGCATCCTTTTGTGCCCAATGTGCTGCCGTGCCAGCATGTCTTGTCTGGCACCAGAGTCTCTTGCAAGATGGTTGCTCACTCTGCGGGTGGATGCATCCCCAGAGACAGAAGGGACAGAAGCTGGGGCAGGCGCCTGGCCCTGTGGTTAAGCTGCATCCCGTGTCTGAACACCTGCCTCCCTGTGCCAGCACCCTCCTGATACACACCTAGGGAGGAGGCGGGGGATGCCTTAGGCTGCTGAGTGCCCACTGCCCACGTGGGAGACCTGAATTGAATTCCTGACTCGTGACCTTGGCCCCTGAGCACGAAGGATATTTGTGGGGGGCAGGGGAGTGGAGGGGACAGATGGACCAGCAGGTGGGAACTCTGTCTACCTCTTAAATCACAACAGAAGAATAAAAAACAGACACCAGGAGAGGGGATATATGAACAAGGAGGGGACTGAGTACGGGGCAGCTCTCAGTGTCTCACTGGGAACGAGGATACGGGAGAGGGCTGCCATGTCAAGCCCTCCGCAGAGAGCTCTGGGCCCGCTGTTAGTGCCACCTAACACCCGAGACTTCTCACCACACTCAGGGATCAGAGGGGCAGATCGAGGGAGCTCATCCGGGGCGGGTTCCAAACACCGGACCCTGGTTTATGGCGGCGCTGAAGTCGTTACAGCCATCGCCCGGCTGTCATGACAGGCTTGGTCCTCTGGGCACCGCAGAGTCATAGAAGGGCTGTGAGCAGCCGTGTGTCCTGATCAGAACTGCTCTCTGGACCAAGGTGGAGCATGAATGGGGGTGAGCGAGAGGAGAGGCAGGAAGGCATGTCCCCCTGCTTTCTGGGGTGGGTTGAGGGACCTGTCTCTGTGCCTCCCCCTCGGGTCAGTGCTCCACTCTGTCTCTGCAAAGAGGCGCTGCACTTAGATGGCTTCATGAGCCAGGGTTACTTGGCTGTGATGGACCCTGGGGTTCTGGAGAGGAGAGGGTGGCCCCCTATTTCCCATCCCCCATGCTGGAGACTAAAACCAGCCTGTATGTTGTGAGATGGCTGGTGGGGTCCCGGGCCTGGAGGTGAGGCCTGGAAGAAGGAGTGGCCCATCCTGGGTTTTATACATGCTCCCCTTATTCGTGTACCTGTCACAGAGAATCCAGGAGTCCTGCCAGAGTGGCACCAAGTGGCTGGTGGACACGCAGATGCAAGCCAGGAGGAGGAAGAGGGGAGTGCACAAGAAGGGCAGTGGCTCTCCCTCACACAGCCTGAACCAGAAGAACACCCGACTGTCTGGAGCCACCCACCTCCCCCTGGGCCTCCGGGAGTGGGAGCATCACCGGCTCCCGTCCCACACGGGCCCCCGTGCTCACCTGCTCCGGCGGGCGAGGAGGGAAGCTGCCTTCTGGAGGAGCCCCTACTCCTCCACTGAGCCCCTCTGCTCTCCCAGGCAAGTGGGGCTGTCACACACATGCACACACATACACTACATGAGCCCCAGAACCTCTGACAACTTACTGAGATTTCCTGCAGCCCAGGGCACCCCAAGTTGCACCTGTGTTTGGGCCCAGCTCTGCCCCCAGTTACAGGAAGACCTGAGAAAATCCTGCAGGGTCTTGGCTTTCAGGGCTGTAAATACAAGTGGTGAGCTCGGCTCTGCCCCCAAGCAGAGAATGCCCCGATGCTGAGCATCAGCTTCCAAGGGAGGGTTCACCTGCTCACCTGTTCACACCGTCACTGGCCCATGACCTTGGCTTCACTTCTGCCAGCTGCTCCAAGTTGCCCTGGTGTTGTCACTTCCTAGAATGGGGTGAGGTGTCCCCAGTCCAACATCGAAGTCATCTGGGGCTGGCTGGGAGGGGCTCCTGTCACAGTTGTCCAACTGGTCACTGGTGTGGCTTGGCTCTCATTCAGCGAGTCTGACAGTGACCTGGAGCCCGTGGGGGCAGGAATTCAGCATCTCCAAACGTTGTCCCAAAAACTGGATGAAGCCATCATTGCTGAAGACAGGTGAGTGCCGTAGTGCCAGTCACCGGGCAGCCCTGACCACCCAGCTCTGTACGCTGCCAACTGGGCATGGCTTGCACCTGTTGGGTGGCTCTGGCCAGCCCCTGGCCCTCCTCATCTCAGCTGCAAGAAGGGATGGAAGCCTTGGGTGTGGGTGTGTCACGGGGGGTGGGATCCTGTGTCCCTTGGGATATCTAGTCTTCCTCCAGGACTCTCCCTGGCTCTGTCCCCTGCCTGCCCACAGAACTAGGCAAAGTGCCATGGCTGCCCTGGACTTGTGTGCTCAGAACTCCTGGTAGGATAGGGCCTGGCCTGAGGCCGTTGCCCCAGTGGTAGCATGGCTTGCCAACTCTGACCAGGTGCCGAGGGGCCATGGCACCCCCTGCTTCCAGGCTTGCGGCTGCCAGCCTCACCGATCTGCCCCATTTCTATTCCTAGTGTCGACATGACCGTCTCTCTCCTTCGTGACTAAGGACGGCGTCGTGCAGGTAAGACCCACCTCCCACGTGTCTTTCTAGCATCTTCCTTCCCTCTTCTCACACATATCCGTATGCATGCCTATGGGAAAGGAGTCTTTTCTGGAAAAAGACTGACTGTACACAGGAGAACAGAAAATGGATACATCTCCCTGCCTGCTCAGATCCAGAACTGCTAACCCCACTGACCCCATTACTAATCAAACACGCCCACACCCCAAGAAGCTCAATTCACCTGCCAGCCTCCCGTCAGGGGGGTGGGGGGAAGAAGGGAGGAGAGCCAGCCTGTGCCCCCTACCTGCCCCACCTTGAACCACCAAGGGAATAAGCCACATGTGGCACCCCCTGCGATGTCTGTGCCACCCCGTGAGGCCCTGGAGGGAGCCCCCTCCCAGAGCCCCAGTACCCTCCAGCCTCCTGCTGACCAGGACCTGACCAACAGAAAGACCCAGAACACCCGTCCCAGCCACCTCTGGGCCCATCAGGGACCGCCTGCCAGCCCGAGAGTGACTGGGGGCCTTGCAAGGGTGCAGTGAATCATATCTTCTGCTCCCCCAGGGGACCCACGGGCCCAGGAACTCAACCCACACTGGAGCCTCGGGATCGCCTCCCACATGACATGAAATACAGTCCCCGGAGGATGTGGGAGTGTCTGAGCCCCAGGCCCAGCAGCGGGGTCAGTGCATTCCCCCATGCCTGCTCCCCCGACCAGCGTCCTGCTGCAAGGAGGTGGAAAGGAGGTATTTCCAGATGCCGAGACCCAGCGCTCACAGCTACCCTGACAGCGCCACTGTGGGCGTGCCCCCAGGAACAGTTCTGCTCTTTGTAAATTATTTAAGAACACCTGCTTTATCATTTTATTAGAAAGAAACCCTTGTATAACTTTCACAGACGACGGTGCTATCTCACAATAAAGACTGATTGGACACTGACTGCTTCGCTCTCGCTCTCCCACACCACTGTGGGCAATAGGTGTGTGGCCTGCCTCCCCGACACACACACACACACACCTCCCAGCTAACGGGGTGGCATAAGGCTCCCAACCCCACTCAGCGAAGCATGATTTAAAGGCAAGTAAGGTTTTTATTTAACTGACAACGTTTGATAGTTAAAAACCAGCTCACATCAAAATCAAGACCAGGTGTAAAAATCTCAGAACTCCATAATGCTGCGTTCGTCTTGTTAGAAATCAGGTTAGTGACATTTCCTTTTCTAACGGAGTGTGTGCAGGCAGCCGTAGGAACCGAACGAGCCTGTTGCGCCACAGAATCGACCAGCACAGGTAACACTGACAAAGTCACACTCACAGGGACGGTCAGGCCACGGACAAGGTTGGGCTGGCTGCCTCCACCAAGTAAACAACGAGAAAAAGACAGCGGGATCCGAGGGTGGGGGTTCCCCGGGCGCAAGCCACCCTCCTCCGGCCTGCTGCTCCTCTGTGTGGCAACTGCCCTTGTGTCCTGAAGGGTCTGGTGGAGTCAAATGGTCATTTCCCTTCCTGTCTCCCCAGTGATTTCTCAGCAAGGACAGTAGGGGGCCCAAGCCAGGCCTTGCCGCTTGGACTTGACCCTAACTGGAGTGTTTAAGAAAGTTCTCCCCAATCCCAGAAAGGAGATGGGAAGAGAAGGTGTTTGCTTGGGTTGAGCCAAAGACTAGATTTACAGGGCACTTGGCACCCAAGCCCCCCCCCCCCCCCCGGGATTCGGTGAGAAAATCGGTTTGTTTAAGGCGGGGTTGACTGCAAGGCTCAATCATGGCCAGGGAGCCCCTCCCGGGCGGCGCCGCACCTGTGCTGGGCTGAGAAGGTGTGGATGCAACACCTGCACCACCCTAGTCCTGGGCACACTTGTCCCAGGAGGGCTGCCTGGTGGTCAAGCAGACATTGGTGCCACATTTTGTCTGTAGCACACGTCGGCGACACTGGCATGGGCTCCAGAGTGGTAAAAGTGCAGTTTTTCTAGTTTGTTTGTTTTTAAGTCAGCCCCTCTTCCTGTTTCTGAGGGCTCCCTCCCACCCCCCAGCGATCTCTGGGTTCAAACACCCTCACAGTAGGCAGGCGCCACACTCAAGGCTGCTGATCCAAATACATGGAAGGAATCTACCATTTAAAAAAAAAAAAAAAAAGAAGAAGAAGAAGAAAGAAAATATTTTGTGGAGCCTAAAGGGAGAAGTCAAGATCTTTAGGGGATGGGGGGAGGTCCATGATACTGGAAGAGCAGGCCCCAGCCAAAAAATGCACCTTGAACCCCCAACAGGGAAAAATGATAGAGGAAGACACGAGGCAGGTCCTGGGCCGGGACGGCCCACACCTGGAGAACAGACATGCCACGCGAGAAACAAGGAGCTTTGGTCAGGCAGGCAGATCTGCCTCCCGCTGCCAGATAGCAGGCACGCCAGGGGCTGCAAACATCCTCTAGGATGTGGGTGGACTGTGAGCCACAGGGCTGCCCAGGGAGAGGGAGTACCACGCGACCCCGAGAACCACCCGCTTGGTTTTCGCCGGTGGAACTGGACAGACAAAACAGACCACACCAGTAGCAAAGAAAAGGCACGCACGACATGTGGGTGCCTGGAAAACCGCCCTGGTTGCAAAACGGAAACACATGGGACTCAGAACCCTGAGGCCCCCAAATGGAGGGGCCCATGGCCCTTCTGCTGGATCATGTGTCCTAGCTGTGACTCCCAGGGGCATGATGACTCCAAGTCCTCCCCCTCTTTTCTCCTAGCCTAGGGTCCTCAAAAAGGGATCAGAACTCTAACTGCTAGCAAAGGGTCTCCCACTGTGTTATCACTTGACAGTAATCACATGGGTGTCTTTCGCAGACAGGAGACACTGGAGTGTCGGTGACCACATTTACATCATGGTCTTATGGGGAAGAAGGGAGTGGAAGGGTTAAAGTCGAAGTGGCTGAGCCGCACACAAGAGCTGGTGCTTATGGCCAACAAGAGTAACGCCGCCACCACGCCACGTCAAAGGTGAATGAGCCATGTGGGGTTCTGGGCAGCAGGCCCAGAGGGGAACCTGAGGCCCGTCCCCACTGGGATGCAGGCTCCTGCGGATGCAGGGCCCAGTGCTCAAACTGTGGCTGAGGAGCCAGCAGACAGATCATGTGAGGGAGTGGGAGGGCGCTGGCAGGCCAGAGAAGACACACTGAGTGGAGAGCTTGGCTGGGAGGGTGGGGGGAGAGACCGGGAGCCCAAACCCCCCAGCCCAGGCAGGGCATCCTGTGTGACCGTTGGTGCCAGCGGCCCCCACCAGCAGCTGCCACGGGCTGCATGGGAGCTGCGAGAGGTAGACATGGAGCAGAAGCAACACTGAGCTGACAGCTGCCTGCTGTGGTACAGGCACCCAGGGCCCTGCAGCTGCCTGGCTGACACTGCTGTGTGGATGACCCATGCGGCAGGGGGACCAGGGTAGGGGTAGCCTTTGGGTGGGGAGACTCCCAGGAGAGCCAAGGCCTGCCCGTTTCGGGATGAGCAAGGAAGAGGCTGTGGGCACAAGCTGGACACTGAGTGTCAGGACCAAGGGGAGAGAATGCAACAGTGTGAGCCCCAGACCCCAGAATCCTCAGAGCTGGGGTGGGGGTAAGGAAGCCAGGCCAGCACCCCTGGGTGCGTAGGCTGGCAAGATGCCCTATTTGGACATCAGGGCAGGACAAAACTGCCGTGGCTCTCCTTTGCTCCTTCCACAAGGGCCCCCTTTGGGGGCCAGTGGGCATGCCCCTTCCACCCAGCCCCTCCTAGGCCCTGTGGAAACTGTGGGTATTTCAAGGGGCTTTCAGGCCTACAAATCCTCAAGGAGAGGAAAGGGCAAGACAGCCTTGGGGTCCAAGCTCACCCCTCACCCACCAGCTCAGCTGGCTGAGTGAGCCTTCCAGTTACCGAGAGGGCAGGCAGCGGGCTCCAGGGCACAGAGCCATCCCAGCTGGGCCCAGAGCCAAGGCGGCTGTCATCCAGGGCAGGGCACAAGGCAGGACTCTCCCATCCTCAGGGAATGATGGTGCAGACACTGAGGACAACACAGGGACACAAAGGCCAGCTGCAAGCCAAATAGCAGCAGCAGACCCCACTCCTGAAGGCTGTGCACACCACATACACACACACACTAGGATGGACCCGCACAAAGTGCTCTCTCAAAAACCTGACCACATTGGCCACTAAGAAAGCCAGGCCCCAAGTGACAACCCAGGAGGCCACAGGGAGGGAGGCAGTGTGGGTGGCCATGCCACTCATCCCTCCACAGGGTTGCTAAGAAGCTGCACCTGCAAGCAACTGTGCACCCTGGAGCTGGAGGCATCTCCCATGAAGGTCTGCCTAGCATGGCCACTACAGAAGTCCCAGGAGTCAGGGACTCAGAAAGGTGGCTAACTTGGACAGAACTCTCCAGCTCTCAGCTGGCCTGCCCCCAGTATTCACAGACACTCAACCCCGACCTGGGCCAGCCACGGGCACTGGTATGGAGGCAGCAACAGCTGCACAGAGCCTCCTCCCAGGCGCTCTCACCAGGGAGCCCCTCCCTGCTCTGCTCGGACACTGCTGGACAGACACGGGAGGGAAAAAGCAGGAAAACGCCTGTGTTCGGGAGAAGGCGGCCCCTCCCGTCCCCGCAGACAGCCCCAATGGGCACCTGGCCCTGACTCCGAGCATGGCCCTGCCCCTCAGGGCACCGACTCAAACTTGGGGGCCCCACGTGCCCAGCTGAGAGCAGGCAGGGGCCGCTCGTGGTCCTTGTCGGACTCGGGCTGGCTCTGCGCCCGCTCAGGTTTGGGGTTGGCGATGGGTGGGTCCGGCTGCTGCACTGACATGGTCCTGCGCAGGTGCGTGCGCTTCCGCAGGAACTCAGGCTGCGCGTGCAGGCCAAAGCTGCCCTTGCGCAGCACCATGCGCGCTGTGTTCTTCTTGGGGCGGGAGCAGTGGCCAGCCTCCAGTGCCGCCAGGTGGGCTGCATAGCCCTCGCTCAGGAACTGTGGAGGGGATGAGCATCAAATAGGCGAGTCCTGCATCCCATCCCATCCCAATATTGCCATTTCCCCAGGATCACCCAGTTTTGTGGGCCCCAGGTGCAGAATAGCAGGTAACTAATCCTGTCTGGATGGTTGGGCACACCCAGCTGAACCCATGGGTTCTCTGGATTCACAATGGGTGGGAAGCCCATCCCTGTCATTCCCCATGACCAGCTGCACCCCATGTGACTATGGCACACTCCCAGTCCCACAGCTGCTCTTCTTGCCAACCCTTGGGCACCAACCGCCAAACCCAGCTCCCACCCAGGACCCACTATATCCGAGTCTGGATTTGACCCAGATTTTCCCAGGAAACAGGAGCACCGGCTGTAAACCAGGAGGCAAGGCTTTGGAATGGCCCTCTCTGAGGTCCCACCATCCTCTGACCCTCCACCTACTCATCACCATCTTCAGGCACCTTGCCCTTGGTATGCCCCAGAGAAAGGTCATCTCCTTCCCTTCCACCTGTCTGTCCTCCAGTCTGTGCCACCTGGCCGCCCAAGACCCACACTGATGCAACTTCCTCCCTGTCTCTCCTCCATGCCTCTGACCCTGGCCCCATCCCACCTGCTGCCTGCTTGAGCCACTCCCCAACCCTCACCTGGCTGACTTACAAGATAGAGTCCAGATGGAGTGGCACACACAGGCCATCTCAGATGCACCTCTTGCATCCAGCCCTCTCCCCGTCCCTGCCACATCACACAGCCAGGCTGGGCCGCTGGCAGTTCCCAGCATATGTTCTCTGCTGTCTCTGAATCTTGGCTTTTGCTTCTGCCTCTGCCAAAAGTGCTGCTCCCAGCCCCAGGCCCGTGCAGCCGGGCTCCCGCATCAGTTCTGCCCCCTCTCATGCATCCAGGCACTTGCCATGCTGCCCTGTCATGACTGCAGATGTCTCCATCTCACTCGCTCAGCTGGATGGTGCCACGCCTGACTCTCTCTACCAAGGATTCTCGCCTGCACCCAGCACTGGGCCTGGCACACAACAGATGTATGAGAATGGTCACTGAATGAATGGATGAGCAGAAAAGGAATGAACAAGTGTGAGACTGAATGACCCCACAAACAAATGCCTGCTCCTTCCCACAACGTGCCAACCTTTTTCCAGGTCCTGGAGATCCACTCACCTGGCACTGGGTCTGGTACTTCTTGGTAGGCCGGCCCACGATGAAGATCTGGGAGGCAGGCAGGCCCAGCACGCTGTAGACGGAGATGTCCTTTGTGGAGCCATAGGCGGCACTGATCTTGATGAAACACTAGAACACAGGGCAGCTTGTGGAGGTGCAGCAAGGCCTCCCGGACCAGCCCAGGGAGTCCCCTGCGCTAGCTCCCAGCCAGGGGTCTATCCTGGTCAGGACCCAACTCACAAGTTATACCGCCTCACCTGCAGCATTGATAAATGCAGGTTGGGCAGCAAGGAGCCAAAGAATTCCTTTGAAGGGAAGGAAACTGGGGGCAGGGACTGGAGGCCCTGAGCTGTGTCATCATCACTGGGTCAGGCTGGGACTCGCCCTGTACCTGTTGCCTCCGCCTGGCCGAGCCGAGGTCTTTGCCTGTCAATTTCAGAGAACTGGCCTAGAGCCCCCTTCTTGCCCCAGAGGCTCTCCCAGCTCCTCCCCACAACCCTACCCCTCGGCATGTAGACCACTCTACCCTGTGAGATAAGCAGCACCCAGCCGCCCCTCACTTGGTGCCTCCCCATCAATGTCACCTTCTTTCTTCCCAACTTCACAGGAGATTTGGGTCCTTGGCCTCAGCTTTTCTTTCCCCTGAGCCGAAATGTTGCTGGATGACTCACTGTCCACATGGGTAATACCACTAAAGCCTCATGGCTTCCTGCTGTCCCTGGCATCATCGACCAACACTTCGGGGCTGAACCCTGGACCTCTGCATGCCCGCTCTGGCCACGGCCACACCCTGCGCTCAGCTTCCAGGACTTCCTCTCCCAGCTATCCTTCAGCTCCATCTACCCCTACATTTTCTGCACCTGTCTTCTTCACTCTTTGTTCATCCTCCCTGGATATCTCACTGCCTCCCCCTGTCCTGTGGCCTCCATTCCAGATTTGCCAGCCCCCTTTATCCCCACCCCTGCTCCCTACCCTGCCACATCTACCTGGCAGAATCTGAGCCCTGAGATTTTGCTGTCATTCTCTTTCTCCATGGTTCTGCACAGGCTCCCAAGAGCCACTCAGGAAACCTCAGGGGACCATGCAGCTCTCACCACATGTTGCCAGTGCCCTTCTCCAGCCTACAGGTGGGCCTGTCAACCCTCCCTCACACCTCCCTGGGGGTTCACGGCCACACGGCCTTCATCTCAGAGGAAGGAACAGCTCCTTTTGTCTCCTCTCTTCACCCTTCCTCCTACATCTGGGTTCCCTCTGTTAGCTCCAAGGCTGCAGCTGCCATCACAGAACCCCTCCAAACCAGGGGCTACCCTCTCTGCTCTTTGACCCCCCAAGAGGCGCTTCTGTTTTTCAGGGCTGTCCAGCAGCCACTTAGCCTTTAGTGGGCAGAGTTTGCCGTACCCATCTCTGCTTAAGGACACCACCTCATTGGAAGCCCTCTCCTCTGCTCTCCTGTCCCTCTGACAGCTTCTCCTGCAGCTCTTGGGGCCCTGGTCAGCCTCCCCTCTGCCAATGCCGTTGGCACCCCAGATCTCACCTAGGACCCCATTGGTCCCAGTGTGCCCTCAGCTGAACTCATTCCCCTGCAGCCTGGGCTTCCTCCTGTGGCTCCTCTCCCCTCCTTCAGCTGCCCACTGATTGATTCATCCTGCTGACACCTATTGAGTGCCTTCCGTGTGCATCATCGCCCTGCATTCCAGGATATGCTGGTGAACAGCCACAGCCTGTCTCCATGGAGATCGCGGCCAGGAAAAGAGTTCCCCCATCCTCCTGGTTCCCCAGCACAGACAGGCAAGCACCGGTGCCCTTCATCCCCAGTACCCGGATGACACCATGGCCTGGCAACTCCACTCAAGCCTCGCAAGCCCGTTCAGCCCTTTTTGTCACCTGGTGGTGACTGCCTGGCTTCTGGGCTTTCTGTCCCTTGCTTGGGCGACTGCTTCCTGCCTGGCCTCGCTTGTTGCCATGGTCCATGCAGCCACCAGAAGGCCCCCAAATCAGACCTGGCTGTCCACCAACATCCAGCTCCCCTGTGCTTCCCTGTCACCCTCAGCTCTTGGTACCCTCTGGGTTCCTCTGTAGACTTCCATGGCCTCAGCTTCCACTTAGGCCAGGTCCGACTCTGCCATTCCAGATGGGTGCAGCTGTCCAAGAATGTCCCTACTCTTTGCTGTCCCTGTACCTTTGCACACCCCACCCCAGCAACTCCTTGATAACCTCACACTCAGGCCCCAGTCTCCGCTTCAAAGTTGCCACCTCTGAGAAGCCTTCCCTGGCCTCCTCCCTCTGTTTGCCAACAGGACCCTTTGCAACCACACACCAGTAATTGTCAGATTAGCTGGGGGATTGGCAGCCATCCTCCATGCAAGGCCAGACAGTAAACACTGCCGGCTTGGCACCATCACAGCTACTCAGCTCTCTCGCTGTGGAGCAGGGGCGACCACAGACAATACATCGGCAGATGAGCTTGGCTGGGTTCCAACAAAACTTTTATTTATGGACGCAGGGTTTGGATCTCGTTTGATTTTCACACATCATGAAACGGTCTTCCGATCCATTTCCACCCAACCACTTGAAAGCGTAAAAAACCATTCTTAGCTTGGAAGTCACATTAAAAATAAATACATGAAAATAGGCTTGGGGGCCGGATTTAGCCATAGTTTGTTGGGCCCTGCTCCAGGATCAGCAAGTTAAAAAAAAAAAATCTCTCTGCACGTGGCGCTTGCCCAGCACCCTTCTGGAAGTTTCCACAGGTGCTGGTCGCAGGCCCAGCCCCGAATAAAGAACACAGCAAAGCATATGCTCAGAGGTGATGGAACGTGGACGAATGTCCGCAAAGGCAGTAACTCCTACCGCGCACCCAGTGAGATCTGCCCTTCCCGCTCAGCCCAAGGGGCCAAGGATCGCCTCCGTGGAGGCAGCGCTCACCTCCTGCATGAGGTTACGCAGGAAGATGGCCTTCTGCCGCAGTGGGTCGTGCACCAGCCCGTCGGAGAAGAAGATCATGCCCTGCGGGAAGTTGTGCTGGGACAGCCACGACACCACTCGCTGCTTTTGCATGTCCGGCCGTCCCGTGATGTAAAGGATCATGTAGCCCAGGTCCTGCCAGTGCCTGGGCGAGACGGGGGTGGAGGGTCCAGCCCTGGCCGTGCAGACCACGGGCTGCCCAGCTGCCTGGCTGCCTATCCACTTTCCTCACGCTCCATGCCCCTTGCCCCCCGACACCTGGCCGTCCCATTCCTCTCACCACCATCGCTCAAGTTCCTAGAGTGGGACACAGCCCACCCGGAGTCCTCCCCTTTCCCTCTGCCCTCCCTCCCCTCCCTCTTCCTTTTCTCCTTCTCCTCCCCCTCTTCTCTTTTCCTCCTCCAAAGAGCAGCCTTAAGTTCCCCAAGGACAGAGCTCAACTCTAACTTTCTCATTTTCATCTCATTAAAACAAAACAATACAACAACAACCAAAAAAAAAAAGAAAAAAAACCACTTAAGTTATGTGTATTTGAAAAACGGAAAGAGACACGCTGAGAGATCTTTCATCCACCTGGTCACTCGTCAGAGGCCTGCAACAGCCAGGGCTGGGCCTGGCCAAAGCCAGGAACCCCAGACTCAACCAGGGTCTTCCCTGTGGGTGGCAGGGACCCACACAGGGAGCCTCCCCCTGCTGCCTCGTGGGGTCTGCCGTGGCAGGAAGCTGGACTCGGAAGCCAGGCCAGAACTCCACCCATCCACTCAACTATGGCCCCACTTCTCATCTCTAGCGGAGGCCCCATCTCTCCTGGACCACTTGAGTCCTCCCAGGAGGCCTGCTGGTTTCTATCTCTGCTGCTCCAGTCCAACCTCAACTCCTGCAGCCTGGGAGAAGATTACGTACTTGCTCCCACCCCAGGATCTCTTTTCCCATCTGTAAAATGGGAATAACAGGAAATACCCCACGGGAAGGGAAAGAATCGCCATTGGATGCTGACTGCAGGAAGCTTCAGAGCGATCCCTCCTGCGGTTCTCATGGTGATGGCTATACGCCGTAACCACGCCCTCTGCCTGGAAGCAGCCCTTGGCTCCCCAATGCTCCTCTCTTCACTCTGCTGCCCTCAGCCCTTGGGACTTGGAGCTGCTTGGCCCACACAAGGTTGCATTCCTACCCCATGCTCTTCTGCTGCAGGCCCCTCCACTATGCAATCTCCGTGGCTCTGCCTCCTTCTAGTCGCATTCCTCCCCTCTGCCCCCAGGAAGCCTTCCTTGTGTCCCAAGTGGAATCAGCCCATTTTCTCAGAGCTCTCTCAGCACTGACTTCATAACAAGATGTCAAAAGAGGGCCAGTGCTGTGGCACAGTGGGTTAAGCCACCTGCAACATCGACGTCCCATATGGACACTGGTTTGTCCTGGCTATGTCATTTCTGACCCAGTTCCCTGCTGATGTGCCCCCAGAAAGCTGTGGGGGATAGCCCAAGTGCTTGGGATCCTGCACCCACGTCAGAGACTTGGAGGAAATCCCTAGCTCCAGCCCTGCCCTCCCTGGCCATTGCAGCATTTGAGACGGTGGGGAGGGAAGGGGAAGGGAAGGATTGGTGAACCAGCAAATAGAATATATTTCCCTATCTTCGCCTCACATTCTATAATTCCAACCTTTAAATGCCTAAATCAATTCTTTAAAACAAAGCTGCCAAAGGGACTGAAATGTGTCTGGCACTCGCCACCAACAGGCTGCCAGGGATTGAGGGTTCCTAAGTCTGGACGTGAGCAGAGAGGTCAGGGGAGGTCTCGGGGAAACACAGCCCCAGTATGCTCCAGCCCTATGGGGGTTCCGGCCAGCAGTGAGGTGGGCCCTGGGACCTGTGCTTACCGCAAGCAGCTCTTGAGGACTGCCAAGCTTTGGAGAGCTCTGCAGGGGCCCTAGGAGCCCTGGCATGGAAGGACCAGGGCCTCCCCTCCCTGGGAGGGGCTTGTTGTCATGGGAACAAATGACCCAATCCCACAAGAGGGAGTCTGGCCAGGGTCACTCCCTCAGAGCCAATAGGTGTCATCAGTCAGGCCAGTGTTCTGTCCCTCAAAGGAATCACTGTTACTAACCTGAAGGAAAGCAGGGCCCAGCCCCAGCCCCCCAAGAACTTCAGGGGCCTGGTTTGCATCCATCTGGGGTTCTAGCACCTTAATGCTGCCTTACAGTTTCTCAAGCCCATGACGTGCTTTCCTACTAGACCTCTGAAAAGGGAAAACGGAGGCATGAGTGGGGAAGAGGCAGAGTGGGACGGGCGGGAGGAGGATAAAGGAGCAGGCAAGCTGAGGTCTAGGGAGCAGGGAGAGAGCTGCCCAGGGACCCTCAGTAAATTGGATCCTGGAGGTGGAGCCAGGACTTGCCAGCTCCTGCCCGGGACCAACATTGGAGGAAATGGGAGATGGCAGAACTGCCCCTCCTCCATCCCTGCTCCCCTCCCCTGTCCCCCCCCCCCCCCGGGAGACAGCACTCACCGAACCACATCCACTGCCCCTGGCCGGACCTTGGGGTCACTGCCCATGATGGACACGCTGGCTGCAAAGGACCCGTCGATGCTGAACACCACACACTCCATGTCGCGGGGCAGCACTGTGAGGTAGCTCATGGCACAGGTCTGGTCGCCCCTGCAAGAAGGTCCCCCACCGCCCCCGCCTATGGTCAGAGTTCAGCCAGAGCCAGGCCTGGGGTGGTCCCAGGAGCCACCACTGTGGGTGACTTCTGTCTTCCTCTCAATGTACATGGGGACGGAGACCCAAACAGAGCCCAAGGACCACGTGTAAGTGCTGGGGGCTTGGTTGGCAGTTGCCATGGGAGCAGGAGAAGCTAGCATGAGCACATTCCCTCAACCTCCCCACCCTGAGGGGCCTAACCTGACGACCATCTTCACAGGATACACGCCGACCCCCAGGCGCCGGGGCCGCGGCACACTGTAAGTGATCCGCCCACTGCTGTTGGTGATCTCCGTGTCCAGGTGCACCCAGCGGCCCGAGGACGGCTCTGCCATCACTAGGATGTCCACCTACGGGCAGAGGGCTCAGTGAGGGCAGAGGGGCAGCAGGCCGGGGAGCAGAGGTTCCTGCGTGTGGCCCGTCCTGGCTCCTGTTACCACCCCCTGCCCCAACTTGCTCTCATCGCTGCAGCCACACAGCTTTCTTGTCCCCCACCCAGATGCTCCAAGCTTGTCCCTTGCCCCTGCTCGTCCTGCCTGAAGCCCCCATCCTTTGAAGCTCGTGCAGATTCCCCGGCCCCTGTACCTTCTCCCCTGTCAGAGCCACCATGTCCAGAGGCCCGTACATGAACCGCCCCACCAGGACCTGGGGGCCGTCTTCGGCAGCAATCACGTCGTTGGCCCGGTGGTTGGCAGTGACGTTCTGGAAGGGCAGAAAGACACCGGCTCTGCTTTGACAAGGACGCCTTGACCTCAGTTTATCACTAAAACCCTTTCCTTTTTCTTTTCTTTGTTTAAGTTACACTCATTTATTTGAAAGGCAGGGTGATAGGGAGAGGGACCTTCCATCTGCTAGTTCACTCCCCAAATGCCCACAACAGCCGGGTCTGGGCTAGGCCACGGTCAGGAGTCCAGTACTCCACCCTGGTCGCTCCTGTGGATGCAGGGGCCCAAGCACTTGGGGGCCACTGCCTTGCAAGGCCTACACAGGGACCAGAAGCAGAGCAGCCAGAACACAAACTGGAGCCCATATGGGATGTCAGGGCCACAGGGACAAGACCAGCCTGCTAAGCCATGACACTGGCCCCAAATTTGCGGTTTTTTTTTTTTTTCTGGGGGTAAAAGTGGGAAAACTCAAATGCACAGGAGCAGGGAGAATAGCTCAAGGAAGGCCTCTGTACCTGACACCTACTCCACCATCCCTGAGCAGTCCAGTTCCTCCCCAGCCCCACCTCTTCTGACCCTAGCCCCACCTACAGACCCACTCAACCCTAGCCTCTCCTCCAGCACGGCTCCCTCTGGAGTAGCCCTGGACCTGGCTTGCATGACTGCATCCCCACTCTCCTACCACTTCATTTAATTCTACAGCTCCACATCCCATCACAGCCAGCCTGGGGCCAGAGTTCCTTATCTCAGACCCTTCCTTTAGAGCCTTTCCCACGCCACGCCACCCCAGCCTTGGCCCTGCTGGCCCCATCCCAGCCCCTGACCCTCACAGTACGAGCCAGAGCCTGATGGAGAAGGTGCGAATCCAGAGCTCAGTGAGCCTGGCCTGGCCTGAGCTACTCCTTCAGGTTCCCCTCAGCTGCCAGCCTCCTGCAGCTGCTGGGCCACGTTCCGCAGGGCCTCCAGGCCTCTGCTCAGGGTGCGCCCTGCCCCTGATGTGCCAGCGTTGGCCTCCGCACACACAGCGCAGCCCACCCATGGGACCAGACTCAACTTCAGCTGTTTCTTCAACTCCTATAACTGAGAGCAACTTGTGGGGGGACACAAGTGGGGGAACACAGGTGTCCCTGCAGGTGCACTGGGCCAGAAAGGGGAAGCGAGCTCATGAGATGTTCACCATCACCAGTCATTAGGGCAAGGCCAATCAAAACCAGACACCCGGGCCGCCGTCATTAAGATGCCGGGCAATCAGGGAGATGGGCAATGCTGTCAGGAGGCAGGGGGATCAGGCCCCCACCACGGCTGGCAGGAGAACAAAACGGCATGGCTGTTGCAAAACAGGACCTTGCAGTTCCTGGGGTAACCAGATACACTGCTACCATTTACTCCAGTAATCCCACTCTCAGGGACGAGACAAGGAGACATGAAAACACCCAACTTCAAATACCGTGCACACACAGCCCCACAGAGGGGCTGACGAGTAGATAAACACAGTGTAGGGTGGCCATGTGGTAGAACATGATTTGGTCAGTGTTGGACACACCATGCTGAGTGAAGGACACCAGTTCCAGAGATGCAGGTCAAGTGAATGTGTGGACATGGAAGGTCTAGAAGAGGTCAGTGTTCGAAGACAGAAGGCAGATGGTTGGCAGCTTAGAAGAGGTCCAGGGGGCGCATTGTGGGAGGGGGAGATGAGGGAGTGGGTGGTGACAGAAGAGCCTAGAGTCCCTTTCTGGAGGTAATGAAACATTCTGACATAGAGCCCAGTGTAGACTGCCCCACGTTTGAGCAGAACACTTTTGCCCGGATGAGCTAACTGCACGTGTGAATCGAGCTCAGGGAACGTGTTTACCCAAAGAACTGACTCAGCAAGCACTGCTGGCCATCCGCCTTTTAGGGCTGTCCCTACCATCTGACCTGCCCACCAGAAAGGAGCGACCCCCACTGCCCGGCTCCAGCCGGGGGCTGTGCCTACACATTCACTGCCCCAGTCCCATGCAGACAGACTGAAACATGGTGTGTGCCGATGGCAGTTTGCAAAGTGAATGAGCAGATCTGCACATCCAAGACACCCAGGCATCCTTCCACAACCGAGGCCCTGTGAGTCCTGCCCTGCTGATCCTCCTTTCCTGCCTGTCTTTGGTGTCACATCCGGCCACACTTCACTCTAATCAGACAGAGAATCCCACGGCTGGGACTGTGGCCATGGCCGCAGCCAGGACTATTGCTGACTCCAGCCCACATCCCAGAAGCCTAGCCTGTAGCCATGGTTCTGCGACTGGCACCTCTTCCTCATTCCCCCTCTCTCCCACCGCCCCCTTAGCCCTACCTTGAGGGTTCCCCTGCAGAGGCAGGTGCCAGAGACCAACTCACACCCTCTGCAGGCAGTGCCTGTGCGATGTGGGGATCTGAGAGAGTCAAGTCCAAGGCCTTCTGTACCACGAGGCAGCCCCAGCCCTTGCCTGACCCCAGCATGCACGTACCCGCAGCTTGACCTGAGTCCGTTTGCGAAGCCACTTCTCCCTGGGGTTGGCTGGGCTCAGGGCGGCGGGGTCCAGGCCAGCACTCTCCTTGACACCCACACTCTCATATCGCATCACCTGGCCAGCAGAGTGAACAGAGCTCTGCATCAGGCGTTCAGAACCCTCAGCTTCTGACGGTCCACCAGAGCCCCCCGGGTCTCTGGCCAAGAAGGACCTGCCCACGGCCTCCTCCTCCCCCAGTCTGGAACCTTCAGGAGACTGGGGGACTCCAGGACCCATTTCCCTGCCTCCCATCCTGACAGCGGGGCTAGGGTACTCTCCCAAGTGGCTCTGCTCTTGGAGGCAGCCTCTGTCCTGCAGGTTGGAGCCCAACAGCTATTTGCATATGCACCACCTCCCTCCTTTGGGTGCTGGCTGCAGTCCTGGTCCCAGCCCCGCCCCTTCCCCTCAGCAGCACTGACCAGACTCTAAGGCACAGCATTGCCCCTTCTTTCTAACACCACCTCAGATCCCAGGTGCTTCTGCTGCACCTCAGTGCTCCTAAGCGCTGTGCTTCTCTCTACTGCCTCGCCTGCATCCCCTCCCCTCCCTGTCCCTCCCTTCTAGCTTCTGAGTCCACTGGTGCCTTCCACTGTGCCCAGCTCCTGCCAGTCCTCCCTGGGTCTCCCCTGACCTTGAGGGGTCCTCGTCCTCCTCCCGGGGTGGCCCCTCCTCCGGGACCCACCCCTGAGCTTCTGTACCTCCAGCAATCCCCTTGGACAGGCACTCACCGCTGGTCTTGGATATCGTCCAAGCCCTTTTATCCCTCACTCCAACGTCTTCCCCGTGTTCCAGACTCAACTCCTAAATGGGTACCCAGGTCCTGATTTCCCCTCCCCCCACTCCCAGAAAGCTAAAGTTTGTTGGGCTTCCCCACCCCTCACTGCTTCCCACGAGGACTGATGCCAAGCTGCCTTCTGACCCCAGGGCACCCCCCACCCCAGTGCACAAGTCCACATCATGCCCTCCAAGCTAGGTTCTATGTGCAACACTGGGACCTGCGGTTTCTGCTCTGTGTTCTAGAAGGTACCGTGGGGTTAGCTTTGTTCATTGTTCACCCCTGTCTCTGATCATGGCACCCCCTGTTCAAGAGCTCCCGAGCATTCCCCACGCTCTTGGGATAAAGTGCCCAAGGTGGCCTGCCATGTGAGCCTCTCCCTGGCATGGGGCAGGGCATGCCCTGCCAGGGGGTGGGGCCTGTGGGCAGATGTACCTGACGCAGGATGAAGGCCACCACATCGCTGGACTCCCAGTAGCTGGCATGGAAGAGATGCGGCAGGGCCACGGTGGGGAAGGCGGTGAGAACATCCGGGCAGTACAGCGCGTAGTCGATCCTCTTGGCACCCCACCACGTGGCCGTGACTGCAGGGCCAGAGGGAGGTGAGGACAGAGCCTGGCACAGACGTGTGCTGCTTGGGGCTTGAGGTGGCAGCCGGGGCACCCAATTCCAGGTTAGGGTTAGCCACCATCCCCCATCCAAGACAAGTGTGTCCCCTCGGGGCACCCGGCCCAGCCAATGCCTTGTGTTGGTAGCCTGATCCCAGGAGAAGCCCCTCTCCCTCACAGGCAGGCAGGGCCCCAAAAGGACCTCACTCACTGCGGGCGGCACCCACAGGCGCCAGGCTGTCAGAGGACTCGGAGCCGTCACTGTGGGAGCTGCCCTCGCTCAGCCGTCTTCCGGGGCGCTGGAACCGCTGGGCCGGAGGCGTCGAGGTTGGGGCATCCGGGATGGGCGGGCCATCCTGTGAGCTGCTGCCCTCCAGGAAGAGGGGGCTGTGGGTGTGCAGGGCGTCAGCTGGAGGGGGAATTGCAAGGTCAGGGCACAGGGCAGGGCCCCAGCAGAGCCAGGCAGGACCCAGCCCTGGGCTGTTGAGTCACCTACCAGGAGGCTTCGATACTTCCCCTGAGCTGTGAGCTACGCCGGTGGGGGCCATGGTGGGGAGGGGACCTCACTGACACCCCATCCCCACAGAGATACCAGGAGAGTCTGTGAGATTGCCAAGGTCACCAGGCACACAACCCACAGAACTATGGCTGAGCTGGAAGGAATAAAGACCCCAGTCTGGTGAATGGAGCCAGTGGGAGAGGTGCTCTGCAGCTAGAGGGTCCCCTGACACAAGTTAGAATGGGGAGGGGACATTGACAGCTTAGCCTGCCCATTAGAGCTCCCCTGAAGTCTCTGTTGAAAAGTGGGGTGAATGAGCCCCATACCCAGCATCCCCCTGCTGTTGGGCCAAGCCTCGAGCCCGCCAGCTTCCCTCTTCCTCATCAGAACATGTGATCAAGCTCTGCTCTCCAAGCCCCCAACCGTCCAGGATGGGCCCCTCCTTGGTAACCCTCCCAGCCCATCCTGGCTCATCCACTGGCCCTGTCCCAAAGCTCCCTGCCCTGGTCCCTGCTGCACCCTCCATTCCCAGCTCTTCTCCAACTATCCAAATACACATCCCCTGCCCATGCTCTGGTCAAAGGCCACCTCTTCCACGAAGCCCACCAGGATGACACACTCCCTTCCATGCCCCCTCCATGGCTGTAAGGCTGGGCACTAAGGAGTAGCACTGGGCACTGTGTGTCCCTTAGCTGGCAGCTTGGAGAGATTCAGAGAGGTCCAGACTGGGAATGCCACCCTGCTGGCCCCCATCTCTCGACCCTGCCCCCAGGACCTACCAAGGAGGAGGGACTGTCCGTCACCCAGGGGAAACCTCTGGTAGCGTGGCACGCTGACGGGAGGCACCAGGTGGAACTTGGGCTCCAGCAGCGGCTCCAGCCGCGAAGCCGAGGGGTCTGCGCAGTGGAAGAAGCTGTAGACCTGGCCGCAGGCAGGACGCACCTGGAAACCTGGAGAGTGAGTGGGCGAGCTTCCATCAGGCATCTGCCCCTCCCCAGGGCCCGAGAAAGCTCCTGGGATGGCAGTTGTGGGCAGCCCAGGTATTTGTTCAAGCAGGAACCAAGGCCTAAGTTCTACTGGTCATCTGAGGCCTGGGAGATGGCTGGTACAGGACCTGGGCTCTGCCTGCCCCTAGACCCTGACTGTCCATCAGAGACACACACCGCACCCCCGCAGCCTATGCCAAGCTCATCGCCCCTGAGCTCCCAGCTCCAATGCCCCAGGCAGGATGGCTGCTTTCCATTAGCTGGATCCCTCCCTCTACCATCACTACTGATCAAACTTCTTTCAGTTCTTCCAGCTTTCCATCCGTTCACATCTGTTCTGGGAAGCTCAGGTGGTTTGGCCAGCAGGATCCATGCCCCCTCCCTCAGCTCCCCACACCCCAGCCCCAAGAAACTCCTACACTTAGCACTCAGGCACGACACTGCTCTCACTGGCCAGCAGGTGTCTCCACTGAGGCCTCCATCCTGCCACCGGCCAAAGAGCCTGCCTGTCGTTCCAGGTCAGGGGCCTGATGGTCCAGCCTGAGTCTGGTCCAGCCTGAGGCTTCGAGACGGCACCAAACGCAGTTGCGGATTCTAACTTCGCTCCTCCATCCCAACTGTAGTCCACCCTTCTCCCTACATCTGCTATGTTGTTAAGCGTTGAGGCAAAAGCATGGATCCACTGATGCCCCAAGGGCCCTCGGCCCTAAGTGGCTGCTGGACCCCCTGCTGGCACAAACCAGGAGAAAACCTGTGAGGCTCAGGTGACATACAGAGCCAAGACACTTGGGGTGGGCTTGGGGACAAGCAGGGGCTCCTATGGGAAGTACAGGTGGGGTACAACAGGGTGTTTGTGGCTTCTCTTCTGTGGGGAACATGGCTGTTGAGTGGGGGCATGGACCAGATAGTGCGAAACCCACCAGAAGCTGCCTCACCTTCACCCCACCTGGGAAAACGTCTCCCTCCCTCCCCTTTCTCTATTTTCCACTCGCCCACCCCTCTCCATTTATCCCCAGCCCCCACCACTGACCTCCATTCCCCACCAGCCCCATTTCAGGTCCCTGACTTGGAGGCCCTGTAATGGTGATGGCATCCCAGACCCCTCCCCAGACTGGCAGGGGAGGGTGTGAGAGGAGCACACACTCACCGTCTAACCCGGGCAGCACCGTCCTCCGCATGGCCAGGACCAGGCCCAGGGGCGAGCCGAACAGGAAGAAGTCAGACACGTCGAAGTCGAAGCGGCCCAGGCTGACCTCGGGGAGCAGGGGCCCCCTGGGGGCTGGGAGCTCGGCCTCATCCTTCAGCACGCTGGAGTGGATGCTGTGGGAGGGGAGGCCAGGCTGGCGGTCAGAGAGGGGATGCCCGGTGCTCGCTCCCGGGGATGGAGCTCGGACGCAGAGCCCAGGAGTGCGAGCCAGTGACCGTCTCAGTGGTGGCTACCCAGGCCCAGCTAAGAGCCAGTGGGCTCTTCCTACACAGGGCCAGAGAGGAAATACTTCAGCCTGTGTGGGGTCCATGCTGTGTCTGCTACATCACGTTAAGCTCTTAAACTGCTGAGATAACACCTGTACACTGTCACACTGAACAACTTTATTTGCAATTTTTTTTTTTTAAAGTTGAGTCCAAGAGCCCTCCCCACCTCTCCCGGCGGGCCTGCTGGTTTGGTGTTAGCATTGCTGCCGACTCTTTCACTGGCTGCTGGGGCAGCTCCACCTGGCCAAGCTGCAGCCCAGTTGGACGGTGCTAGCTCAGCCAGGCTTGGGGTTTGCTGGCCACCCTCAGACGCCGAGGCTGACAGCTTGGTCCACCTCCACCCCCTGGCAGGTGCAATAAGAGATGCACATGGGAGTGGGAGCCCAGCCAATCCCTTCCCAGATGCCCACTGCTCCAACGGGAGCCCGGAGCTGGGCTCTGAGACTCTTGGGAGCCTCCCTGACCTTCCAGCTGACTCAGGTACAGCGCCCAGCTGCAAGTGTGTCAGTGAAGGCACATGACACAGCTGTCAGTGGAACTGAAAGAAGAAAAAAAAAATGCAACAACACTCGAGTAGAAAAATTCTAGAAGCCACCTGGGCTGAAGTGAGCAAGCCTGCTGCAGGTGGAGGGCCTCCTCCCATCTTGCCACCTGCCTGCCACAGTGTGAGCGGTTCACAGTGAGGATGGAGAAGCTGGTGCTGGACAACATGCCCCACGTCCGGTGCAGTCCCCACATACGCACCAAACCACTTCATTGCCAGAGAAACGGCCATCTGGCCCTGTACCAATGGCAGGGTCTTCATGCAGGCCGGGCCAGCTCGCTGAATCCTTTCCGTCCCCACCCCTCAGCTAGGGTGGGTCTGCCCTCAAGGATTTGTCAAGGATGAACCAGAAATGTCAAGAGCTTTCAGCTTGGCAGGCAGCTGCCTGGGTGAAGGGTAACCCCTGAGAAGAACTTCATGCGTCAGCAAATTGAAATATGCGAGCCCTTTGATCCATTTAGTCATTCTGCTTCCAGAAGTCCATTGGAGGGAAACAAAACTGCCTCTACAGGTGGGAGGATATGATCCAAGACCCTCTCTCTGCAGGTGCCTGACACAGCAACGAGTATTTTCTGGCTTCCCTTTGGCACACATGAATTGCTGGCATCGCTGCCCTGTGCTTTGGAGCCACTCTGACGCAAACATGAGCCCTGTGACATGGGTGGATCCTGTAGTCGAACGCCTTCTCAGCGACTCATGGGAGCAGGTCGTGGGTGCAGTGCAGATACACTGGACAAAGGGATGGCTCACATTCCCGGAAGGATGGATGGAGTGGTATAACAAGAGAGTCCCTCGCTCACCTCGGAATAGCATGCACTTGAAAACCCAGGAATTGGAGCAGGCATTACGGTGCTAGCACGTTAAGCCACTGCCTGTGATGTTGGCATCCCATGTGGGCACTGGTTTGAGTTCTGACTGCTCCACTTCCCATCTCAGCTCTTTGCTAAGATGCCTGGAAAAGCTTCGCCTCACTTAACCCACATGGACTGGCACGAGTCTTCTGTAAACCTAAAGGATGCCCACTCCAGGAAGGGACCCACCTGTGTACACACAAAAGTGTGTTGTGTACAAGTCACCAAACCAGGGGCCCAGTGAAAGTTGGTCCTGGGTGCTTTGGCACAAGCTGGGGTCAGGTGGGGGGGTAAGGAATGAGAAGCTCACACCTGGGGTGGCTCCTGGCCACGCCCCCTCTGTGAACTGACAGCCATGGGATCCATCACAGAATAGGAGGCAGAGGTGCAGAGAGGTGGGGCACATTATCCCCAGACTTCCTGCAAGTCAGGGCACAGATTCCCAGGGTTCTGTGCAGGACAGGTGGCCTTGGTCTGTGCACTCCCCCCACCCTCCCACCGCGTAAGGATCTGGGACAACATGGCCTGGTCTTCTCTCTTCCCCCAGGACCCTTGGATGGATGGAAGGGAGGCTGGGCACCGGGAGCAGTCACCTTGACAGGAAGGCGTGATGCTGGGTGACGGCTTCGCAGTCGTAGGTGGAGGAGTCACTCTGTTTCCGCGGCAACGGCCTGCGGGGCTCGGTGGCCTCGGCCCCGCTGGAGAGGTCGATGTTGCTTTTGCTGCGCCGCTTGCTGTCGGCCAGGCTGCAGTCTTCCTCCACCACACCGGGGGCGTCCTGGGGCCAGAGAGACCGAGCACAGCAACTAGTTAGCGAAAGCCCCATGCCCATGCTCACACCAGCCCCTGCCTCCTGCCATGGGGCGTGTGGAAGCCAGAATGTGACAAATGGGGAGGGGGATGCTCAGGGTCACAGCCCCCACCCCACTCCTCGTCCTGCTCCCAACCCCCATCGTACCTGTGAGCTGCTGATGCTCCCCTTGCGGCTGACACTGCCTGGGCTGTCCCCCGAGGGCCCTGCACTGTAGCAGATGGCATCAAAGGCCAGGAGGCCGCCCACACAGTCCCCGATGAGACACACCTAGAGGAGGCAGAGCTGGGGCTACAGGTCTGTCCCACCCCCACTACACACACACACACACACACACACACACACACACACACACACTGACCCCCGACCCCTACACACCCAACCAGAGCAGAGGTCACCCATCCAATCAGAAGCCCAGGAAGAACCTGTCCTGGGAGGCACCAAGAAAGCCCATGTGGGGTCAAAGGTCAGCCTCCTCCCCTACCATCAGTGGGAGGCAGCCTAAGAACAGGGATCCAGACCGAGCCAGGAACCAGCATAGGCCTGGGGTCAGGGGTCGGGGGGCGGAAATCCAAATTATTGGCCTCAGTTTTTCTATCTGTAAAATGAGGGCAGTTCTGAAGAGCTCAAAGGACTCCTACGACCCCAGATGCTATGATTCCAGAAGGTTCTGTGTGGGGTCTTCTCGGCAGACCCCAGCCTCTCTCCCTGCAGGGGCTGGGATGGGATGGGAGTTGGGGCGGGGGCAGACTGTCCTACCTGCCCACTGAAGCCAATCCCGTCAGCAGACCTGAGGAACTCAGCATACACCTGGTTGGCTCGCTTGATGACAGTGGCCACGGCGTCCTGGTACTGCGGGGAGGAGATGGCCAGCAGGGGCAGAGCGGCCAGAGGGACATGGTCCTGGCTGTGGCTGAGGCAGCCCTCATCGTGGCTGTAGGGGTTCAGGCTGTGGACAGGAGCCCATGGTCAGCCCAGCCCTGGGGCCAGGCCAGTTGGGGGCCAGGATGACGGTGGTGGTAGTGGTGGTGTTGAGGGCAGGGCACAAGAGAGCAACCTGAAGACCAGATATGTGGTCCCTGGTTCCAGGCAGGAGGGGTGTGTGTGTGTGTGTGTGTGTGTGTGTGTGTGTGTGTGTGTGTGTGTGTGGTGCAGGTAGTGGCCGCAGGGGATCTGAGGCTGTATACTGAGTCCCCGGTGTTCACCTCTGGGGTCTCCTGCAACATCTGTGTCCTTTGGCCCTCCTCTACATGACCCCAAGGACACCCCAAACTGTAAGTGGAGGGATCAGCTGAGGAGCCAGGCGGTGAAGGTCCAGGTATCAGGGAGGGGAGGCTATCCTCATGGCAGACTTCCTGGAGGAGGCAGGGTCTGACCCAGGCCTCAAAGAAAGGCTGTGGGGAAGATGAGAAAGTGCCAGAGCCTGCCAGGCCCAGGGACTCCCCAGATGGCCACAGCTCAGAGGCCAACACCTGCCTGCACGCCCACATCCCTTGTTCAGGGGGCAGGGAGGGGGCAGGGGTCTAGTGCTGCCTCCAGCTTTGCAGAAGACAAGGCTGGGAAGGTATGTCTCCTCACACCCTCAAGACAGGTGCTCTTCCGGACTTGACAGTGACCCTCCTACTCCCTGCCTCCCCACCAGGAAATTCTAACCTCCATGGGTGGCTTAGAACCAAGAGCCATGTCCTGCTCCACCCATCCCCTGGGGCATCTGTCCTAGAGGCACTGGGAGCCCGGCTTATCCCCCTTAGCCCAAGCCAAAGGTGGAACTTAGCGTCCCATTCAGGTTCTGTGGGGACCCTACAGAACCTGGGGGCAGCTGGACAAGTCCCCACCAAGTGTAGGACTGCCCCACTCCACCATCCATCATCTCAAAAGAGTGTAAATTGGAGGAAACAGTCTCTACTGTAGCCAGAGAGGGTTTAATTAGCCAGGAACACGCTCCTTCCCAGCAGTGATTACGAGTGATGGATGGCCTGGCTGGGGGCTGCCTGGGGTGGAGTAAGCTTCTAACCACCATCCTCTCCGGTGGCCCGACCATCCGTCTTCCGGGAGACAGGCATGACCCAGCTCTGGGGGTCAGGGCTCCAGGGTGGGGGTGGAGTGGGAGGGAGTTGACTAGGAGAAAAAGAGTCCAGAGACGGATTATGAACCAGTACTGTAAGGCCTGCAGAGCTGGAGGTGTCCAGCCCCAGGTCGGCATGCAGATTCCAGGGCTCCTGTCCCCACCCAATGGACCGTCAGGTCTGCACATCTTGGGGCTTGGCAAGAACCCCACCCAGCATCTGGGTCATGAACACCTTCCCTCCTCCTTCCTCTGATGGAGGACTGCCCTGGGTGGCACGGGGAGTGGTGGCGGTGGCCAGGAAACACTGAAACCACCTGGCTGCTGCCCCGTGGAGGCAGAGGGGACTGCTCCTAGAGCCGAACCTGACTGAGAGCAAAGATGCCTGCACTGAGTTAGGCAGGGAGCTGCCCACACAGCCCAACCTCTGTCCCTGCCCAAGGGGAAGGACGGTGCCCCAAGGACCTCATCCCTAAGCTCCTGGCTTCATGTTTCCCGCTCCAGCAGTGGTTGGGTGTGTGTTCTGCAGAGCTGTGTAGGACATAGGCCACAGACAAGGACCCACTTCTGGCTAGCTCAGGGTGGCAGGCACCTGGTGAGCATGGCAGCCCTTGGGCTGGGAGCCACGGGAGGGGATGGGGACTCACTCAGACCCTGGAGGGGCGTCTGACCTCTTGGTGTGTTCCCCCAGGGTTCCACGCAATGTGCAGGGATGTGCCAGAGCTCTGCCACCCTCCCCTTCCTCCTCCCAACTTGCCAAGCTCTCTGCTCTGCCCCCCACACAGTCCCCCACAATGCCAGTTCCAGAAGCCGTCCCCCACACATGTCCTGTGCACCTGGCGCCACCTGAACACATGGCGCATTCCAGCATGCAGGATCTTCACCCCAACCCCAGCGTTCCTCCTCACTGTTTTTACCCCCACTTTACAGATGGGGAAACTGAAGCAAGGAGAGGCGAGACAGCTTTCCTCCCCGCCCCCCCAACAAGGTCAAATCCAGCCTGGTAGGGAGCCACACACTTAACCACACCGTGCACTCAAAAGCCACCTCCTCCAGGACTCAGGAAGAGGCAGGGCTTCCTTCCTGGCTCCACTCGCTGGGCAGCCCTGGGGGAAATTGCTGAACCTCTCCATGCCTCCATTTCCCGAGCTGGGCCAACAGAACAGGGCTCCCTGAGCACAGGAAGTGGGATCCAAGCTACTAAGGATGGGACCTGGTAGCAGAAACCTGGCTGATGACTTCCCAGCAGGGACACTCACAGTCTGTTGAGATCTGGTGGCTCTCACAGCCCAGAGAGGCCTTGGCAGGGGCCCACCTGCCCCCCCGCCACAACACCCAGGTGCCCCCACTAGCTGGAAGGAACTCACTTGGAGACGAGTGAGAAGGCTTCGGAGCAGATGGCCGGGCAGGGCACCAGCTTGATGAGGATGTGGCCCAGGGCGGCGGGGAAGTGGGCGCGTGTGACCTTCTCCAGCACAGAGCTAAAGGTGTGGATGTCAGCCGCCTTACATGAGGGGTCCCCTGAGCCCGTGTCCAGGATGTTTCCCCCATGCAGCACCAGCAGGAGCACGTGCGTCTTGGAGGTGCGCTGTGGGCAGCCATCCTGTGGGGACAGAGAGAGAAAGAAGTGGGGTGACAGGGTAGTGGGACTGTGGCCACAGAAGCAGGTGCTGTGCCAGGCCCGCCCACCTCCCACTGCAGCCCCCAGGGTGTGGAACCTCAGATTGGGGGTGGGGCACGTGGGCTCCCCAGGTTGCGGGGGGTGGGATGGAGAGCTCAGGGCAGTCTTCAGGCCAGGGACCTGCTCCTGACCGCAAGATGGGACCCCAGGTGCCCCTGCCACCCTGACTCACCTCACTGTCTTCATGGATCTCGATGCTTCCCTGGGCTGGGAACTTCTGTCTTCTCAGAGAAACTCGGTACAGCTCTCCTGCGAGGGCACAGGGGGAACCCATCTCTAAGGCAACTGGACATACCTGGGCCCAGCTTCCAGCTCACTAGTCTTGTCCCCCATTTCTGAGACCCACACGGCTTGCAATCCTCTCCCTGTCCCAGCAAAGGGGGTCAAGCAGGCTGACCCTGTGGCAAGGACTAAGCAAAAAATGGCCAGCGCTGTTGGCACAGCCCCACTGTGGCGCCAGCATCTCCTATCAGAGACCCACTCTGAGACCCAGCTACTCCACTTCCGATCCAGCTCCCTGCTAATGTGCCTGGGAAAGCAGATGGAGGATGGCCCAAGCTCCCACACGGGAGACCAGGCCATTGCCAGAAACGCTGTCCTCACTCCTGCCTGTGGCTCCAGGCCAGACACACCCCTTCCAGGAAGCCCTCCCTGAATTTTTGCTTCTCCAACACTGCGTGGGGTCAGTGTGAACCACTAGCCACCCGCCAACTGCGGTGAAGGTTTCCTGGAATACAGCCAGATTCGCTCACCTCCCTTTAGTCCCCTGGGGGCCTGAGGCATTCAGTTCCCCTGGTGCCCACCCTAGGAGCCTGCCCTCCCCTCAAGCCACTCCCACCTCCTCTCCCTCCTCCCCCAGCAGCCTGATCCACACTGCCGTGTCCCCTGCCCACTTTACCCACTGCTCCCCCTGGGAGTCCCACCTGGGCTGCTGGACACTCCCACAGGCCCTGAGGGTCACTGGTGGCCAATGGGTGTGGGCACCTTGGCTCGGCACTCAGCGGGACAGGCTGTGCTCAGCAGGGGAAGGGCATCTCTGAGATGATCAGTACTCAAAGGCGGTGGCAACCCCAGCTGCCAGTGGGGCCGCACCCACAGTTCCCACGCATGCACGCGCCCGTGATGGTCTCCCATGTGACGTGCAGAGGGGAGGGCTATCAAGAAAAGGAACCACTCGATTGGGGCCTGTGGTTGAAACCATGGATTTTAGAGTCTGAGCTTAAACCTTGGCTCTTATTGCCTTTGCTTCGGTTTCCTGGTCTGGGATATGGGATAATGATAGTTAATACCTCCTAGTACAGAGGTAAGGATAGATGGGTCCAGCCTGCCTAAGAGCCTAGAACAGGACGGCCAGCACATGAAGCGTCCTATGTCAGCTGCTGAGGTTGTCATTATCTACTGTATTATCAGGGTGCATTGGGGCGGGGGAAGGGCTGACGAGAAGGGACCCGAGTCCCTTGGGGACACCCCCCGCCTCCATATTTGCCTGCCAGATCTTGAGATCCTTGCCCACGCCCTGGCAGGCTCCCGGCCTGGCTGGGCTGGCTGCCTGCTTGCGATGTGATTACAGGATTAAATGCTGTGATTGCCACAAATTACCATAGTGAGGCTATAAATAAAGTTGCCGGGAAGACATGAGGGGGCCGTGCCATCTCCTGGGCATCCGTGCCCCCCGCGGAAGGCAGCTGATCCTGAACCCTCATTGGCATCCCAGACCTACATCTGCCCGAAGTCGATGTCCATGGGGGTGCACGCCTTGCTCTGGAGGCCAAGCTGAGGCGCAAAGGGAGGTGTCCAGACGATGTGGCAGCTCCTGCCTCCATGGGGACACAAGCTTCCCTCTGCTACGGAGCCTTCGCTAACAGGATGAGCATTGCTAGCCCACGGGTGGAGCATCTCAGCTCTTGGCAGAGGCCTCTGTGGATGAGCAAGCAGGTTCCAGGTCGCCCTGCCTGGTCCTGGTCCATGAGCAGCCCCCTCTCCAGCCAGCATCAGCTCTGCCTCTCCTTCAGTCTGCCCCCATCTCTGTTCACGCTGAGCAACACCCCCACCACCACCGTTCATGCCTGCTAAGCTCTTCCTCCCATATTGGGGAAGTTCCTCCTCATCCTACAAAACCCTGCTTAATGGTCACTGCCTCTAGGAAGCCTTCCCAGATCTCTCTACCTAGACAAGGTAATTTCCTCAGCACGCTTCCTGCTGTGGTTTTGCTTATCTTTAGGCCCCCATTGATGGTAAGGCTTATTATGTATGCATCTCACTGGTGTGGCATTTCTGGAAAAGTGGAAATGACAATGTGGGAATGCATACTGCCAGGAGACACCCTCCTCCATCCTCTGCCCACCCCTGGTGGAGGAAAGGGGTGGGAGAAGCAGAAAATCAGGCTCAAGGACACATCACCACTGGGAAGCAGATTCCTACAAAGGCACTGGGGGACCTGGGATCTGGATACCCTGAGAATTCTAGAATAGCCTGGACCAATGGGAAGCCACTAGGTGTGACCCCAGGACCTCATATCATGTTGCCAGTTTCTTCCCACTTGCCCTATCCCCACTGGCGTGGCCCTGTCCAGGATGAGCCCCTGCTGCCCTGGGATTCGGTGAGGCAGGCGAGCCACGGCTGTTGCTGTGGAGAGGTTTTGTGAGCAGCTATGGGGCAGGCCGGCACCCCACAGTCCATACTCCCAGCGCCCCTCTAACCCCAGCATCAGGACTCAGGGCCCACCCAGCTCCCCACTATGCCTGCTAAAGAATGGAGGCTATTTTTGTTTAATCACAGCCTTGGGAAGGCACAAATCGTGATTTTTTTCTTTCCTTTCTGATTACCCATGCGCCATACTGCTCTTGAGACAAAAGCCAAGGTCGGCACCCACAAGCCTGGTGCCCTAAGCAGAACAAGTGGTCCCCAGCTCAGCTGGGGTCCAACTGTCCCCCGCCTTCTTGCCAGCGGGGTGGATGCTGGGGTGTCCTCCCCACCAGTGTCACCCTCCATCCTGCCAGTTCCTCGGCAGTCACCCCCACTTCCCTGAGTCACCCTGGGTCAACTGAGCAGAGCTGGGCCTCCTGGGAGCCCACGTGCGCTGTCTCAAGCTGCATCTGCCGCGGTCTCTAATCCTCTGTGAGCTTGTGGAGGCACGAGCGCATGCAGAAACACACAGAGGAGTTGTGGGTTGCTTTGTTTTTGCCTAAAACCAATGTGGCTTTTCCATCTCACTCTGAAGTGGGATCTGGAAGCTGCACCTGCCAGCACAAGAGCCTCCTTCAGACAGCCAGCGGGCACCTCAGACCACAGCCCAGCCCTGACCAGGAGAAAGAAAAGCACAGGAGGAAGCGGGTGAGGAAGACGGGGGGCCTAGGACGGGCAGTGAGCACCCTACCCCACACGCCACAAAACAATCTTTGCCCCTGTCTCCTGTGCAGGGCAGGCAGGTCCAGATCCCACGGGTCTATGCATGAGTTCCTGCCCCACTGCCCAACACAGTGAGGGCCCAGGACCCCAGGTCATTTGGGGAGTGAATCAGCCAATAAAAGATCTCACCCTCTGTGTGTGTGTGTGTGTGTGTGTGTGTGTGTGTGTGTGTGTGTGACTCTTTCAAATAAATAAACACGTATTTTTTAAATAAAAAAGGAGGGGCTGGCTCAATGACTCATCTCTGCCTGCAAGCACCAACATGCCACCTGGGCACCAGTTCATGTCCCATCTGTTCCACTTCCCATCTAGCTCCCTGCTTGTGGCCTGGGAAAAGAGGAGAGGATGGCCCAAGGCCCTGGGACCCTGCAATTGCATGGGAGACCTGGAAGAAGCTCCTGGCTCTTGCCTTTGGATGAGCTCAGCTCTGGCCATTAGGGCCATTTGCAGAGTGAACCAGTGAATAAAAGACCTTCCTCTCTTTCTCTCCTCTCTGGAAATCTGCCTTTCCAATAAAAAGAAGTAAGTCTTTAAAAAAAAAAAATAAACATAGAAAAGGAAACACATCAAAATGTTGACAAAGATATTCCCTGATAGGATGATGATTTTGGTTTTGTTTGTTTGTTTTACTTCCTGTTGTTCTCTGCTTTCTAATCCTCCTCTAATGAGCCCATAGACTTTTATGGTTGAAAGCCTATGTGTGAACAGACCTGAACAGACAATACAGACACGCATCAAGTTGGTGATCAGAACATTCCTAAACCAGCCATGCTCTCTGATCTAGTAAACAAGCCCCCACAGGCAAAACAAAGCATCTCACAGCCCTACCCTCCAGGAACTGACAGGCTAACGAGAGAGTGGATTCAGAAAAGCAAGGCTCGTGCAAGGAAAAGGATGAATGTGAAACACGACAAGTAGCTAAGATCCTCTTTTTGGGCTCAAACACCATCCCAGCATCCCCGGCCGATTCTGATGCTCATGACGGTCGTGACTAACACTGAGCTAAAAGCACCGAGGCGATCAGACCCAGCACCGGCCAAGTCCCTGGGGTGACACGACAAAGCCCCAAGCATACAATAAGGGACAGGTCCCATGTCAAGACCTGGGTCATGGGACCAAGCCCGTGGAGCACAGCTCAGAGTGGTGTGCCTGCCTGAGTGACTTCCCAACCTGAGAGCTCAACTCACAAGGAGATGGGGACATTCACACCCCTGCCATGCTGCTGTGGTCCAGCCCTTGTCCAGGGCACCCCAGCGTCCAGGACCCAGGCAGGATGGTTCAAGAGGCTGAGGGTCCACATGAGATATGAAGGAGCAAGACTGTGGGGACCTTGTGGCTGCTGCAACTGCACACTGTGAACTGGATCACAGGACGGGGACAGTCAGGGCCAGGACAAGGAGGAGTGGGGTGGTTTCTGGAGTCATGAAGGACCCACACAAGCAGCATGGCCCAGGCTGGCCAGAGGCAGGCACTCTCCTTCTCAGGGGTTAGGCAGGCTGCCACGACGATGAGGGGCCACTTCTCGGGGTTTTCAGCGGCAGTGGCAGGGTCTGCAGGCTGAAGTCCTTGGGACAGATTCCATAACCCTCGTAGACTGAGGTCCCTGGGACAGACTCATTAACACATTCAGGGCCAGTGTCCAATCATGGATGCATATATAAACCGTGCTCCCCAGGCTAAGACCAGGTGTTCACACCTGCAAGGGGGACTGAGGGCCTTTTCCAGGGTACACCTGCCTAGTCGAGGCCCCACCCTTGTTAGGGTCTAGAAACTGGACCCCGACTTGGGGAAATGCAAGTCTGGGAGCAACTCCGCTCAGGAGAATCAGGCTGTAATCTGGA